GGGTAGAGGGTGGTGGGGGTAGAGGGGGGGGGGGTAGAGGGGTGGTGGGGGTAGAGGGGTGGTGGGGGTAGAGGGGTGGTGGGGGTAGAGGGGTGGTGGGGCCGTGATGCGGGCTGTCTGGTTGTTTAGGGGCCCCTGTGGGACTGTTCGGGGGTTTAGGGGCTCCTCTGTGTTTACACCGAGCGAGAATTACCGTGGGGGGCTGTGAGATTAGCCCCACCCTCCACCCCCCACTCGCCGCTCCCTACACCCCCCCTCTCCCCCTTGAATTGTGGATGAGTGGGAGAGCAGGGGGCGTGGGTCGGGTCGGACGACAATGGGGGGGGGGGGGTGATGCGGGGGGGGGGGCGATGCGGGTGGGGGGGTGCCACACCGCCCCTGGTTGGTGGGATGCTTTACCCCTCGCCCCGTGCGAGGCGCTCCGCTGAGGTTCGCGCTGCCACGCGCGGCCTGGCGGACAAACGCAGGGTCGAGAGACGCCTCGCGTCGACTCTGGTGACTAGGAGATGTTAACTACATCGCCTGGTCTACAGGAGGTCGTGGGATCGATCCAGACCCTGATGATGCCTGCTGCTGTATGTTTGGAGTTTTGCGTGTCTCTCTCATTACCATCCCCCCGACAATTAAGAATCAACGTCACGCGTTTCGATTATTTGGCTGCAATACATGTCAACATGATGATGATAAGCCCACTTCGTTGAGTTGTCGCTTGTGGCCAGGTCGCTTTTGAAACAAACCTTTAACAGCTCAGTGTGGTCTTGCCTGGTGAAACTAACAGAGTCAGTAGGAGGAGCCAGTGGGGCCTTACCTGGTGAAACTAACAGAGTCAGTAGGAGGAGCCAGTGGGGCCTTACCTGGTGAAACTAACAGAGTCAGTAGGAGGAGCCAGTGGGGCCTTACCTGGTGAAACTAACAGAGTCAGTAGGAGGAGCCAGTGGGGTTTTACCTGGTGAAACTAACAGAGTCAGTAGGAGGAGCCAGTGTGGCCTCGGGCTGGAGCCATCACGGCTACATGGGGCCGATGGCTGATGGACCGAGACTGATTTGGGGTGATGGTGTGATGGGGTAATGGTGGGGTAATGGTGGGGTGATGGTGTGATGGGGTGATGGTGGGGTGATGGGCTGATGGGGCAGCCAAATGAGAGGATGATCTCCTCCCTTAAGGGTGACTCACCACGGAGATGGAGCGACGAGGTGGAGCGTTGGGGTGGAGGTCGGCTCCACTCGGGAAGGACTCGGTCCGCTTATTGCATCGCAGGGAACTGGAGGGGAGAGTGGATGGCGTGGGGAAGCCTCCATCCAGCAGTGGATAGAGCAGTCGCTCGTGATGATGTTGGTGGTTCTCACCTCCTCACCAACACTGTCGCAGCCACGGGATGACTCTACAATGTCTACTGCTGATGATGATAATGACTCTGATGCAGGTTTTTTCTACTGCTGCTGATAATGCTGCTGATGCTGTTGATGATGAGTCTGATGGTGTTTATGATGAGGATGATGACGATGGTGATGCATTGGTTCATCCTCGCACCCCCCTCCACCTCCCCAACTCTCTCCTCTTCCTCCTGCTGCTGCTGCTGCTGCTCTCACCCCCCGTGTCGCCGCCGTGCCTCTCGGGGAGCCGCTGGCGAGATGATCACAAACACAATGAGACGGAGGAGGAGGGGTTTCATGTTTGTTTGTTGAACTTCTGTCGCACCGTACGTAGCCATCCGTACTCATCGGAGGTGTCGGCATAGACTTGCATAGAGACCCATAGCCTTGCATAGAGACACATAGCCTTGCATTTTTAAAAAAATACTTACAATGGGACTCGTGGACTTGCAAATAGATGTTTAGACTAACATAGCCATCCATTGACTAACGCAGAGCACGCAGATACCCACGCAGTGTATGGAGAGCCATGGGGAGGCTGTGGCGCAGTGGTTGGCGCAGCTTGAGGATAAAGGAGAGAGATGGCGATGGGAGAGTTGGGGGGAGTCGAGTCGAGTTGAAGAGCTGGGGAGGGAGATTGCAATGGAAGAGGGAGGGGGGGGGGGAGAATGGCAGAGAGAGGGGAGGGGAAGAGAGGAAATGGACTAAGGGAGAGAGGAGAGAGCTGGCGATGGGAGAGTAAGGGGGGAGTGGAAGAGGGAGAGAGGAGAGAGCTGGCGATGGGAGAGTAAGGGGGAGGGTGGGGGGATGGCGATGGGAGAGTGGGGGGGTGGCGATGGGAGAGTGGGGGGGGGCGATGGGAGAGTGGGGGGGGTGGCGATTGGAGAGTGGGGGGGGGTAGTGAGAGTGGGGGGGGGGTGATGGGAGAGTGGGGGGGGGGCGATGGGAGAGTGGGGGGGGGGATGGGAGAGTGGGGGGGATAGTGAGAGTGGGGGGGGGGGGCGATGGAGAGTGGGGGGGGGGGGCGATGGGAGAGTGGGGGGGGGGTAGTGAGAGTGGGGGGGGTGGTGATGGGGAGAGTGGGGGGGTAGTGAGAGTGGGGGGGGGGGTGATGGGAGAGTGGGGGGGGCGATGGGAGAGTGGGGGGCGTGGCGATGGGAGAGTGGGGGGGGTAGTGAGAGTGGGGGGGGGGGCGATGGGAGAGTGGGGGGGGGCGATGGGAGAGTGGGGGGGGGTAGTGAGAGTGGGGGGAGGGGTGATGGGAGAGTGGGGGCGATGGGAGAGTGGGGGGGGGTGGCGATGGGAGAGTGGGGGGGGGGGTAGTGACGAGTGGGGGGGGTACGATGGGAGAGTGGGGGGGGCGATGATGGGAGAGTGGGGGGGGGCGATGGGAGAGTGGGGGGGGTTGCGATGGGAGAGTGGGGGGTAGTGAGAGTGGGGGGGGGGGTTGCGATGGGAGAGTGGGGGGGGCGATGGGAGAGTAGGGGGGGGAGAGTGGGAGGATGGCGATGTGAGAGTGGGAGGATAGTGATGGTAGAGAGAGAGAGGGAAGAGCACGGGCAGAGTGCAGGGAAATTGCAGCCCCGGAACCTCGCTCTCTCCGCATGCAAACAAAAGGCCGAAGAATTTAAGTTTTTTGAAACTCTCTCTCACATTAAACTCTCTCTCCCCATCCTCCGCTCTCTTTCTCTGCCCGGGTACAAAAGAGCCTCTCTCTTGAAGCCTGCACAATACAGTAGGGTTCGGGGGGGGGAGCTGTTTGGGATGGGGGCGGCGTGCGCGCGTGCGAGCGAGCGCATATTTGTGTGCACGTGTCTGTGTGTGCATGATGTGCCTGTGTGTGTGCACGTCGACTCAGGCCTCAAATGAGTACCTTGTTCGGCGTGTAAACATTGCCACTGGGGAGACAAAGGCGGTCGGGCGTGGTGTTGGCCACCCCACCCCCTCGTGTGCCGGGCCGGCCGTCATAGGTTCTCGCTAACAACACTTGCCCCAACAGTCTGTTAAGGCTATATGGGGGATTTTTGGCTTTGTTACCGGATCGTTGGTGCAATTGTTGGCTCACTGCACTAGGAACCCCGCGTCCTGAGTTCGATTCCCGCTCACGGCCAATACCATCGGTGACGATGATTATCTGAACCGGTCCTGGGCCTCCTCCCCTAGGTCGACTCAGCCTCAAATGAGTAGCTGGTGTGGTGTATAAAACATCGGCACTGGGGAGACAAAGGCGGTCGCACGTGGTGCTGGCCACCCAGCCTCTCGTGTGTCGTGCCAGCCTTCATGAGTGTTTACTAATAGGACTTGCCCCAACAGTCTGTTCAGGCTTTACGGGGGTCTTTGTGCTTTGTCTGTATTTGGAGAGGGAGGGCCCACGTCTGGCGGGAGGAACATAACGGCCAGCGCCAGAGGGCAGTAAATGTGGACATTCCACGTTTATGTGGCGGGACCCAAAACAACCCTCATTACCACATTTAATAGGGAGACATTCTAGAGAGCATTTTATTATTATTATTAAGGTGGAGAACCCACTGAACTCTCAGCTGTTATGGAGAGGTCACACGTGATGCTAGCTCACCATCGTATTGGCTTCTCATGTTGGAATGCAAAGCTGCCAAACAACCTGAATGCGTATTGATTCTAAATGAGGAGGGGTGCAAAACCGGAGGAACCCGAGAGAACAATCCACGTGACCACCACGGAGAGAGAGAGAGAGAGAACACGGGGACTCCAAATATGCAACAACAGTCATCGCCGGGGTCTGGGATCCAACCCATGTCCTTCTGCGTAACAGGCGAGGGAGATCACTTCTCATGCCTACGGCGGTGTTGCGGTCGGCACACTGGACTTGCAATCCAGAGGTCGCGGGCTCGATTTCCTGCTTGGGTTCGAGCTCGCCTGTTTGGCAATGAAATATAACGGTGGCAGGTTTTCTTTTAAATCGCCAATGTGCGATGTCGTCATCACCAATGTTACCGATGTTGATGATGTTGTTGATGATGTTAACGTTGTTGTTGACGATGTTATTGACATCGATGACGATGTTGTTGACGACGATGATGTTGTTGATGATGTTGTTGACGTTATTGATGTTATTGACAACGATCCACTCGGGCCACGATGGAGTGGAGGGGGCTCGCCAGATCGCTCCTTGACGATGGTGACGACGATTTGATTCGTGGGCTTTCACGACCGATGTTACGATTCATGATTCATTGATTTGGCTTGGCCCGTGTGGGCACGACGCCTTGGGGACGCGGCACAGGAACCCACCCCGCAATGCTGGGTCGTGATCCTCCGGCGGCGACGCGTCCAGCAAAGGTTGTCCGCGCTTTTCGTTTCTCGCGCCTTTTGTTGTTGTGTTGTTGTTGCGGTGAAAACACAAACTCGGTCGGCAGCTTTCATTTTTGTTCGGGCCGTGGTCGGGGTGGTGGAGTGCTCGTCAGATTGTCCATCACACCCACACGCTGCGACCCGCAACACTCGACATGAATCACGATGATGATGATCACGACGACGACGACGATGCTGATGGTCGTGACCGGTAGCAGGCGTGGACGGCTTCCGCGATAACGTCGTTAAACCACGGCGGCTGACTGTGACGACGTCCCTGTGACGCGTGTCCGCAGGTCACGATGAGGCCGGGCGGTCGCGATGACGGCCAATAGGAGCGGCGGTGGTGGCGGTGGTGGTGGTGGTGGTGGCGGTGGTGGCAGTGGCGGCGGCGGTGTTGCCGTGAGGAACGGGCTCAGCACCAGCCGCTCCCGGACAGCGACGACGCCGACGAAGACGGCGGCGCCAGCGGCGAACCTGTGCGGGGCGCGGGAGTGCGGGGGGGCAGCGGATGAGCGGTGAGCGGCGGTGAGCGGCGGTGAGCGGCGGTGAGCACCGCTTCGGCGTTTGTGGAGCGAGTGCTTTCGCGAGAACTGGTCGCGCCGGCGTCGTCGGTTCGAGCGAGCGCGGCTCTGCCGATGGTACGCCGGTAGTCCAAGCCGGTGCGTGTGTGGCGCGTTGGTTATTGACGCTGCCGAGTGTGGATGGACGTGCCGAGTTCCCGGTTGTACGAAGGGGTGGACGCCGCCTTTGTCGCGTGAATCGCCGAGGCCAGGAGAAAGTCTTTTCAATGCAGAGGTAAATAAATAATTCCCGCTGCTCTTCCTCGTGGCGTGCGTGGTGCTGGTCTGCTCGGATCAAATACGAGACCCCCTCCTTACCCCCCCCCCGACCACCGCGCACTCCGTCGTGGTCTCCACGCGGCGCCTGCAGAACGTGCGACTCAGCAGCGATGCCCGGGGAGGGGCCCTTCTCTCCGCTTCCTCTTCACTCCTGCTCTATCTTCTCCTCCCCCGCCTGCTCCTCCATCTCCTCTTTGCTCCAACCTCCTCCTCGCTGTGACTCCTCCTCCGGCTCCTCCTCATCCTCACCGAGGCTCACAGAGACTACGCTCAGGATCTGCCCAGTCGGCCCGCCGCTGATGTTGACACTGCCGCTGCTGATGGTGTTGATGAAAATGGATGTGTGAGGAGGAGGATGTTGATGATAGTGATGTTTGCACGGGAGGTGATGGTGCGTACGTGGGCCGGGGTTGGCCTGTGGGATGTGCCTGGACCCCCACGCAGGGGACTGGGACTCCTGCCAAGGGATGATCTCATTGCGTTGAACAAGCAAATGCATTTGCAGGCCGTGCTTGCGCACGTGTGTGCGCGTGTGCACACGTGTGTGCGTGTGTGCGTGTGTGCCTGTGTGGGTGAGTCTGTGCGTCGGGAGCGGTAGTGTAGCTGTTAGCGCTACGCTGCGCTACGAACTCGGCTACCCGAGTTCGATTCCCGCTCACGGCTAATACCAGTGACGATTATCTGAACCGGTCCTGGGCCTCCTCTAGGTTGACTCGGCCTGAAATGAGTACCTGGGTGCGGTGTGTAAAAAAAACATTGCCACTGGGGAGACAAAGGCGGGTCGGGCGTGGTGTTAGCCACCAAAAACCCCCTTGTGTACCGTGCCACCCTTCAAAGGTGCTCGTTAACGGCACTTGCCCCAACAGTCTGTTAAGGCTATATGGGGGATCTTTGTCTTTGTGGGTCCTGCCACATTAACACGTTTAGACAACTCCAACTGCACGGTGCAGTTGTAATCTGAAGTGGTGTTTGTCATGCGGCAATCAACCCGAGTTGTATTTTTAGTCCTCAGTGCTGTCGTTTTGCAACCATTGAATGTGCAACGGGAAGTTACAGTAATGATTTCTATGTATATTGCATCATTGGCGTTCGTGCAAATTGCATCTCAATTGCCGAGGCAGCAGAGCTGGGCGGTGAGCCAGAGCTGCCAAACAACTTCCCAAGATCTGTGGTCCTCTGTTGATTAATATACTTGTCAGCCAATTAGTGATGAGTGTTTATACACGTGGCAAGAATCAGGAGCTCCTCGAGCAAACCCACGCGTGCGAGGGGGCAACGCTCTATCCCCCGTATAGAAGGGACAGATGATGGTTGGTGTTAGTCCGCCACTTTGCTGTGCCACCTTCTCCTGGCGAGCCAGGGTACGACTCCTCCTGGACGTCCGTAGGAAATAGAGTTTTGCAACAACATCTGTGTGTGTAGTGATCTACCAGCCCTCGCTGCTGCCTCGACAGTGCTGGATTACAGGCTCCCCGGTCAATTGATGACCGGCTGCCGAGACCCTCCACTCTCGATGCATGCGAATCCGGATTAAGCACGGGCGGCTGAAACGGGGATTCAAAGCCATGATCTCAGACTCCGCTTGCCGCGTTTCTTAACTCCGCGTTTAAATCGTTCGCAATTCACGACGATCCCCCCCCCCCCCCGCCAGATTCACGAGGATGCCATTCGCGCCGTCTGGAGTGAACGTGCGATTGCGAAACGTCTCCGGACGCATGCAGCGAAGTTTCTCCTCGCTCAGCGCTCCGTAAAAACTAAACTGAACTAAAAAATGTTTTTTTTACTTTACCCAAGTAGGGCCCACTGAGCTACGTAGCTCTCTTTCAGAAGCGACCTGGCCACAGATGGTAGCTCAAAGAAGTGGCTTGTCACGTGTCAATGTACAGTAGCAGCCAAATACTGTACACGCACGTTTATTCTATATGTGGGGGCACAAACGTGACCGCGGGGAGAGAGAGAGGCACACAGACTCCAAATATACAGCAGGCATCAGCGTTGGGATTGAACCGATGACCTCCTGTATACCAGGCGAGGTAGTTAACATCTCGCCTCTGTGGCGCCCTCAACTGGGATCACACACAGCAGCATCAGCATCACCCAAACGTCCATGGAGGCTTGTGACGTCCTGGGTCACAAGCCTCCCATGGCATGGGTGGCTTGTGACGTCCTGGTTCACAAGCCTCCCATGGCATGGGTGGCTTGTGACGTCCTGGGTCACAAGCCTCCCATGGCATGGGTGGCTTGTGACGTCCTGGTTCACAAGCCTCCCCTGGCTATGGGTGGCTTGTGCGTCCTGGCTAAGCCTCCCATGGCATGGGTGGCTTGTGACGTCCTGGTTCACAAGCCTCCCATGGCATGGGTGGCTTGTGACGTCCTGGTTCACAAGCCTCCCATGGCATGGGTGGCTTGTGACGTCCTGGTTCACAAGCCTCCCATGGCATGGGTGGCTTGTGACGTCCTGGTTCACAAGCCTCCCATGGCATGGGTGGCTTGTGACTTCCTGGTTCACAAGCCTCCCATGGCATGGGTGGCTTGTGACGTCCTGGTTCACAAGCCTCCCATGGCATGGGTGGCTTGTGACGTCCTGGGTCACAAGCCTCCCATGGCATGGGTGGGGAGTCTCTCCAAGAGCGCAACCTCTGTTGACCTTCCCGTTTTAAAAAGCAGTACTCGTTTTATCGAACCCCCCGCCCCGGAGGGAGGGATGATGGGCCGAGCCGACCACCACCGCCCCAACCATGACCCGAGCTCTTGACCTTCCGATTGTGAGCCGCTCGGTCCAAGTTTACTTTTACCGGAATCCTGAATGTCCCCGTTGAACCCCCCCCCTTTGCGTTACCACGGGGGGGCTGGGGGGGGAGGCGGGGGGGGGGTGCTTTCTCCCTCGTGCTCTTCCCGCTGCGTCTTCCCCCCTTTCCGCGCTGCGCTGTGCGGCGACGCGTCTACAGGAGCGACGCCCGGGATTGCGTGTCCCCTCCCCCCGCCCCGTGGACCCAGGGACTCGGCTGTCCTTTGAAATGGATCTGTTTGGACGCGATCGGTTCTCACCTCGCTTCATTAAAGTGGCAATTTATTTTTAAGGCCCGGCACGCCGAGCGGCCAGCAACAAACAGCACTGGTGGAGGTGGGGGGGGCGGTGTGGGGTGTCAGTGGCGGGTACCAACCACGCCGCTGACGCCGGGCTCCATCGACGCTCCGGCGACGCGGCCGTTATGAACCGCATGTGTCCGCAGGAGCGGCCTCAAGGCGGCGGCGGCACTGAAGGCGTCCGTGGGGGGCCGGTCATGCGGAGCCCGCGGCGGGGGGGGGCCCTGCACGGCAGAGCCCCCCCGCTACGTGAGCTCCGCGCTGCAGGCCCGGCCCCGGGGCCCGGCCGTGCTGCCCCTGGAGCAGCAGAGGGGGGCGGGAGCAGGAGGAGGAGGGGGGGCGGCGGGGACCCCTAGGGGACCCGTGACCCCCGCGGCCGAGGTCACCGGCGCCGGCTGCCCCCCCAAAACGGCGGAGGGTGCGGTGCCGAACGGCGTCGCCGTGAAGAATGGAGGTGAGCCTTTTGGGTTTTTGGTTTTAGGTTTTAGATGTTTGGGTTTTATTTCGGGTTGCAAGCATGGATGCGCCACTCCCTGCATTGCACCGGATCAATTGTAACCGCTCGCAGCTTCGGATCACGCACGCACACACGCGCACACACGGGGGGCCATTTGACCGTACTTGACCGCACTGCCCGGCGTCGGTTGGTTGGAAGGGGAGGCCGTCTCTTGGGGCCGGTTCGGACTCGCAAGTGATGTTTGCTACGGCGAGGCATTGAACCCGGCCGGGTTCACGGTTGTGGAGTGTTCGCCACCGCTCATTACGGACCTCTATGACTAAATCAGTTTAAGGGTCTCTATGTAAGTCTCTGTGTAAGTCTGTGGGTCTCTATGTAAGTCAATGGGTCTCTGTGTAAGTCTGTGGGTGTCTATGTGAGTCTGTGGGTCTCTATGTAAGTCTAAGGGTCTCTGTGTAAGTCTATGAACTCGGTATGTACGTATGTTTGCTTGCGGTATTTCGTGCACCGGACCACAATTAACTTGGGTTCGATTCCCTGCCGCGGCCAACGTCAGTTGGGAGTGAAATCTGCATTGGTCCTGGGCCCCTCTCCTCGGTCGACCAAACCTTCACAGAATACCCGGCGTATCAAACGTCGCCACTGGGGAGACAAAGGCGGCCGGGCGGATGCGGTGCCGGCACACACCACCCCGTCGAGCCCATCGCTCCTCCCTCCACCGTCGCTCGCTAACGCCACTTGCCCCAACAGCCTCGTGCGGGCTACACGGCTCGACCTTTGTCTGTGTAACGCCCCCACCCCCTCCCCCCCCCTCCCCCGTACGGCTGTCCCGCAGCGACGGTCCCGGCCGGCTCGGCCACGGGGGAGATGGCACGGGCCCCGGCCGGGTACCGCGTCTCCATCATCAGCCGCTTCAGCGTCACGGGTGGCGGCGGCGGCGGCTGTGGCGCCCGCGCGGTCACCGCCGCCCCCCCCCTCGAGGGCGCGAGGGGGGGGGCGGGGGGCTCCCCACCCGGCGAGGGCAACGCCTTCCCGGGAGGCGACGGCGTCGGCGGACGAAGCGACGGCGATGCCGGAGGTGGCCGGGGAGCGGAGAACGGTAACGGGAGTCGACCCCCGGGTTTTGCGTTTTGCTGCCGGCGTCGCAACGACAAGTGGGCCTTGAAGTGGCTTGGGGAGTGGGGATGGGGGGTGATGACAGATGATGAGCCAGCACCACTAAGGGTGTGGTGTTTGAATCCGGGTCTAAGCCGCACGTCACTAAAGTGGGATCTCAAGGACACCAGTGACTCGCGTAGAAACTCATGAACTCGCATAGAAACTCATAGACTCACATAGAGACCCATAGACTCACATAGAGACCGACCCGTAGATGTACATAGACACTCATAGACTCACATAGAGACCCATAGAGTTACACAGAGAGCCATATACTCGCATAGACACCCACAGATGTGCATAGGGACCCATTGACTCACACAGAGATCTATCAACTCCCACAGAGATGCACAGCAATCACATAGAACGAATTGTTCGCCGGCGTGAAAACTCAAATGATAACAAGAGACGTACGTGTGTCTGTGTGTGTGCGTGCGCGTGCGTGTGCTTGCCCGTGTGTGTGTGTGTGCGTGCGTGCGTGTGCGTGTGTGCTTGCCCGTGTGTGTGTGTGTGCGTGCGTGTGCGTGTGTGCTTGCCCGTGTGTGTGTGTGTGCTTGCCCGTGTGTGTGTGTGCGTGTGCCCATCCCAGGCAGCGTCCCTGCCCTGCGCCCGGGCGCCGGCGCGAGCGTGCGCCTCCGTGCCAGGGACCCCGACCGTGCATGCCGCCACCCTCCCCCGTCCGGCGACGCCGCCGCCGCCAGCGCCAGCGCCGACTCGAAGCGGCGCGAGTCGGTGCTGCAGCGCGTGCGGACCTTCGAGAAGGCCGCCAAGGAAGGCCTGGCCGGCTCGCCCGGCCCTCCAGCCACCTCCGCCGCCTCCGGTGCCGGCGAGGCAACGGGGGCAAGGACCCCCCTCGCCTCCCTCCTGCAGTTCCCCGGGAACTACTACAGCCCCGACGCGGCGCTCGTCCGCAGGATGGAGTCGGCGAGCCTCTCGCTCGGCACCGCGGACGGCGGCAGGGGGAGGTTCGCGATGGGCGACTCGAGGAAGAGGGGGGAGCGCGGCGGCGGTGGCGATGACGACGCCAGCCCCACGGAGACCGGGTGGAGGAGAGTGAGTGGGGAGTCGCTGCTGGATGATGTCGAGGCCACGCTGGGAGCCTCCATCCTCGGTACTGGGCGATCGGCCTCCCCCCGTGTTCGCTCGGCGGCCGTTGAGAAGCGACCACCGTAGTTCGGCATGGTTAGGGATGCCGAGTTGAAATGTCACGATGGGTTTCTTTTTTGTCTTCGTTTGTAAAGTCATCGGTGACTTGGCTGACGAACCCGGCTTGATTATAAGTTCTGTCCATGTGTTTATGGGTCTCTGTGTGAGTCTATGGGTCTCTGTGTAAGTTGTTGGTAACTGGCCAGGGACCATCACATCGCTAAACCTGAGAACCATGGACTGCTGAACCCTGTGACCTCCCGTTACGCTATCTGAGACAACTCCCTTGCTTACCCCAGGCGTTGGTACGTGACGTTTGGAAACTGTTCGTCAGACTGCGAATGCTTCTCGCAGGGGCAGAATGCAATTGCATCGCTTGCATTTCAAATCCATTCCCTCCCACTGAGCGTTCAGTGGGAGAGTGTAATTGTTGCCTGAGTTTCTCAAGGGTTACGAATTATCGCAATTTGGGGTGAAAATTTTCTTGTTTTTTTTTCTTGGGTTTATACTATGCCATTGTTTTTCATCTTTTTATATCTACTTTGTAATTGTTTTCTGACCGTCTGGATTTTGTGTTGGCTGCGTTTGCAGATGGGTCGCGGAAATGTGTAAAGAGACGCACAGTCAAGTGTGAATAAGCAAAATAAAAATAAACCATCGGCAGTTCCTGCAACACTGCATTGTGGTCTCCTCTTGTTGAGTGACCCTGACTGACAGCGGCTACAGCAGTGAGACACAGAATCTGGAGCGGTGCCGTCCTAATCACGACTCATCGGCACAGCGCTAGTCAAGAACGCTCACAATTGTGCTGGCAGTGATCTAAGAAGAGAGAGGACCACAATGCTTTTCTTCGGGATATGCTGATGTTTCTTTTTGGTTGCGAAAAGGCCGTGTGATTTGTGCGCACGTTTGTGCCTTGTTCGTGGTTTTCCAGCCTGCGCCGTTATTCGGTGGCTATGACGGCGACGTGTTGGTAGTCGCCGACAGGTTCAACCGTCCGTGTTCTTGGCACCAGCGCCTGCCTGAATTGTCCTCCTGTCCTGTGTACTCTCCAGTCTGCGTGGTGTCACGAGTGTTGCACCGTCGCTTGGGGGCTGTCTGCTGTGTGCGTCTCATTCGATCCTTTACACTGTAACCCTAACCTTAACCACAACCGTAACCATAACCCTAACCGTCACCTTACACGTTGCGGTGAGACTGACCTGTGTTGCAAGCGTCCAAGTTGTGCGTCGTCGCAACCAAACTTTTACGCTCGCCGAGCATCCCGCCGATCGTTGCCGTGCCGACCCCCTGTGCCCAGACGGAGCGTCGCTCAGGCCCACGGTCCCGTCGCCAGCAACGCCGTCGCCAGCAACGCCGTCGCCAGCAACGCCGTCGCCGCCGCCGGGTTCGTCGTCGGCCTCGCCGCCGAACGATTTCGCCGCCTCCGGCGCGAGGTCGGCGGCCGCGTCGGGGGGAGGGCCGGGGGGCGGCGGCGTCATGGCGGCATTCACGCCGATCTCGGTGAACCCCGTGCCCAAGCCGCGGCGGACGTTCGAGTACCACGCGGAGCGGACGACGCCGGCACCGGGGGCGGTGGATGACGCCGGGGAGGAGGGGGACGGGGGGGATGGGGAGGAATCCGGCAGCGTGGGGGTGGCATGCCGAGTAGGAGGGGAGCGACTGCTGGAGGAGACGCCCGTGGTGTCGCGGAAGCCGAGGGCCGCCCGTGGCAAGAGTCGGTTCGGCAGCGGCGGCAGCAAGTGCGTCGGCGGCTTTAGCGGTCGCTCGCGGTCACTCGCGGTCACTCGCTTTCACTGGCGCGCACAAAGAGATGCGCTCCGTTGGAGGGCTGCAAGCGAGAGAGAGATATTATTTACACGTGTGTATGTATGTAGGTTGAACTTCTGTTGCACCGTATGAAGCCAACCGTGCTAATCGGAGGTGCGGAGGGAGGGAAGAACAACAAACTAAATACAAAGATTAGTTCTAAAGAAAAGCTTTCGCAGTGTGTCCTCGTGTCTATGTACACGTGTGTGTGTGTGTACACGTGTGTGTGTGTACACGTGTCTGTGTGTACACGTGTGTACACGTGTCTATGTGTGTACACGTGTCTATATACACGTGTGTACACGTGTCTATGTGTGTACACGTGTCTATGTACACGTGTGTATGTGTGTACACATGTGCGTTCCTTCATGCGCAGGAAATCTCTGGAGGGCAGTGAGACCCCGAGGGATCGAGGTGAGGGGCTCCCGCCCATCGGCAGGAAAAACCCGGAGCGGAAGAGCACACACGGGCGGAACGGCTCGGAGGAGAATGTGTACGAGGATATCGTCGGTAAGGGAGCCACCCCCCCTCACCCCGTCATCATTGGTGCCGGCCTTAATAAACTATAAAAAAACGATTAAACAATTTTTATTTCACCAGGTTAGGCCCACTGAGCTGTACGACTATTTATCAGAAGTGACCTGGCTATCACAAATGGATAGCTCAACGGAGTTCGCTTATCATCATCATCATGGCGTGGCAATGTATAGCAGCCAAATAGTCTGAGCGCATGACGTTGCTTCTAAATGTGTAGAGAGAAAAACAGAGGACCCGGAAAAACATCCACGCGTCCAAGGGGATAGAGAGAGACACTGCAAACTCCGAATATACAGCAGGCATCGTCAGGGTCGGGATCAAACACACGAGCTCCTGTGTACCAGGCGAGGTAGTTAACATCTCGCCACCATGGCGCCCTGATAGGTGCCCCGACCGGCTATGTATGTCCACCCGGTGGGAGGTGCGGGGGACTTTACCTGTGTCTGTGCATGGCGGTGGCGCTGGCGTCGCTGGGGCAGCGCCAGCAGACGCGTCGCGGGAGAACCCCTACGAGGACGTGGAGCCGCACTGCTTCTTCACGGGGCGCAAGCGGGCCTTCTCGTCGCGCAACGGGCGCCGCTCCTCCGCACAGCGGCCCTGGGGACAGCTGCGCAAGTTCTCCACTCCATCGCCGGTATGTGTGCGTGCATGCGTCCGCGCACGCGTATGTGAACGTTCTCTTCGCGTGACAACAGTCTGTTAGGGCTATACGGGTGATCTTTGTCTTTGGGGAGCGGTGGCGCAGCGGTTAGCGCTACGCTGCGCGACGAACCTGGCCACCGGCGTTCGATTCCCGCTCAGGGACAACATTGAACTCGTCCTGGGCTTCCCCGAGGTCAACTCAGCCTTAAATGAGCACCTCGGTGCGGTTTGTGTAAACTGGAGACAAAGGGCGGCCTGCCGTGGTGGCCGCGGGCACACCAGCGCCACATTGCGCCGTGCCGGCCTCACCGGGCGCCGCTGAGCGCGGTGTCCCTGGGTTCGGCCGAGCGCCGATGACGACCCCCCCAGCCGTGGGCGTCTCAACACCGTGGGGGGGGGGGGGGGGGTAGAGGCCAACCGCACGAGCCGGTGGGACCAGGCGAGAGAAGCGGAAACAGAATCTCTCTTTAGACGAGAGGAGGAATCCGGTGAGCTATGAAGTTCTTTTTCACAGATGTCCAGTCAGGGGAATGGGGTCAGCAAAGTTACAGCAGCAACAATAACAACAATAACAATGATTAGCAAATACAACAAACGAAAGGAGTGCAAAGTAGAGAACACGAAAGCAAGTCACTAAAAACGAAATAACGTTTATTAGTAGAAATTGCATAAGTAGATACATTCCTGGCGAATTTTCTAACACTCAATGGAAGCTTGAGCAAGGCAATAAAACAACAACAGTCCCAGAGCACAGCAAGGCAACTCGCAGTCTCTCAATGAAATTGCACATTCGAGTTGAACGATCGAGACTGCACGCTGGGGGTGGTCATCAGAGTCACAACAAATCACAGCATCGGGTGTCGCTGGAGAATCGAGCGACGATCCAGAGTTGAGCGTCAACTAAAACCCCAAATATACAGGCATCGTCAGTGTCGGCGTCGGGATCGAACCTACGACCTCCTGCATACCAGGCGAGGGATATAACATCTCCTGGCCACCGTGGCGCCAGTGACTCACCTCCTCTTCCACATCGTTTCCCGCCGCCCTGCCCCTCCCTGCCAGAGCCACCGCAGAACCCAGAGCCTCATGGGCAGCTGTCCCCACTCTGCATCATCGACGACGGCGGCGGCGGCATCGCCATCGCCGTCGCCGTCGGGGGCGGTGGGGCTCAATGGGGGCGACTCGGAGGGGCGGCGACGCCTGCCGCTCAAGAAGACGCTGACGGAGCCGGCGATCGCGACGCTGGTGGGGCCCCGGCGCTCCCTGGGCGGGGGGGCCACGGAGGACACCGCGAGCACGGCCAGCGACGTCTCCTTCCGGCAGCAGCACCCCCGCCGTGTGCCCAAGGTAAGGGGGGGGGGTAGCGAGATGTTATCTCCGTCGCCTGGTGTGCAGGAGGGCGTGGGTTCGATCCCGACCCTGACGACGCCTGCTGCTGCTGTATATTTGGAGTTTGCTCGTCTCTCTCTCGTTCTCTCCCCGTGGTCGCGTGGATTTTTCCCTTGGTCCTCCGGTTTTTCCCTCCACATTTCGAATCAACGTGTGTGATTAGAGTATTTGGCTGCATGAAGTGTGAATGTATGTTGAACTACTTTCATACCGTACGAAGCCAACCGTGCTAATCGGAGGTGCGTGGGAACAACAACAAACGAGACACAAAAAGCAGCGTTTCCACACGACAAGCCACTTATTTGAGCTCTCATTCGTTGCCAGGTGGCTTCTGAAAGAGAGCTACGTAGCTCAATGTGGTCTTACCTGGTAAAATAAAAAATAGTTGAGTTTTAGATGGGGGGGGGGGGGGGGGGTGAGCTATGACCTGGCGTCTAGGCTGCTGCTGCTGCTGCTGTTGCCACTGCACACAGATAGGGATTGGCCACCGCGTGCGGCCCCAGTTGCTCCCCAGATGGGATCAAAAGGCGAGGGGCGGAACTGCCAACTGGGGTGGCGGGGAAGGGATGGAGAGGGGGGGGCGGTGGGGGGGGGGCGAGACCGGAGCCAGTAGCCACGTGCTTTGCCTTAAAACCACACGGGCACGCGCGCACACAAAGACAAAGGTCCACCGTGTAGCCCACCCCACACAGGGTCCGGGGGCAAGTGAAGTGCCGCTACCCTTCACCTGCAAAGGCCGGCACGGCGCGCAAAGTACACGTGGCGTGTCCAGCACCGCCCTGCCTCGGCTACCTTTGTCTCCCCGGTGCTGAAGCTTTACACATCGCAGCAGTTGAAATTATTATTATAACAAGGTAACCGTACCATAGATGTAACAACACGTAAGGGTAAGCATTGAGCTGGTGGTCTGGGCAAGGCTGGGAGCCTTTGCACGAGCAACACCCTTGCTCCTATCGCTATTTGTTTGTTTGTTGTTGTAACTCGCTGTGACCGGAAGACATCTGTGGAAAAGAGCTTCACGGCTCATCGGATTCCTCCGGCAGTCCAGATAAAGATTCTGAGATCCGTCCTTTTTTTCCCGGCTGGCGATTGCGCTGCGACGAGGTTGGCCCCGTCGCCCACCCAGCTGACTTTCCTTCTCCGCTCGTCTCTCCCCCTCCTCAAGATGGTGCAGAAGATCAACGAGGTGTTCACGGCGAAGCGTGGGAAGAAGCGCTGGAGGAAGACGTCGCCTAGCAACGCGGAGACCGCCTCCCTGCGCGGTGAGCCCCGTCGTCGCCACGGCGACCGCTCCTTGTCACGGTTGCCACGGCCATCGTGAGCCACAAACGGCGTCAAGTCAATGGGTCCCCCATACCATGGGCTTCCCCCCCCCCCACCGCCCTCCCCCCCATTGAACCCCCCTCGTTCCAGTTTAGCGAGTTCACCACGACGTCGGTTCGTTCCGTCAACCCACCATCGCGTGTGTGCCCTTCGGAGATCTGATCCGGTACCTGGCCTTCCTCGAGGTCGACTCAGCCTTTACGTGAGAACTCCGCCTTTGTCTCATTGGGGAGACAAAGGCGGCGGGGCAATGTCCTGGCCACACCACCTTCTCGTGTGCCGAGCCGCCTGCCTTCATAGGTGCTGCTCTTCGCTAACAGCACTTGCCCCAACAGTCTGTTGAGGCCGTACGGGGGGGGTGATCTTTGCTTTTGCGCTCGTACACTTGACGTAGCGTCGAGAGGAATGTGGTCCTGCTCTGTCTGACCTCCATCCCCACCCCAACCCCGCCATAGATCAGCAAACCAAGGGCAACGCAAATAATTAACAATTAGGAGCCGATATTTCACGGGGTTATTTCTTCCAAAAAATACCAGCACGCGTAGCTTTCCCACCGTTGCTCGACCGTGAACTCTGACCCCTTGCGATTACTTCACGGGAAGGTGAAGCGTGGGGGGGATGAGCGATGTTACGGCCTCGTGTGACAGACCACCACGAGTTTATTTGATGTTTTTTTAAAACTCCACATTCCTATGGCAGGGTGCAGTTTATTCAAAGGGGGACGGTGTTGACAGTGGCCATGTAATGGAATGTCATGCGACGTCTGTTTCTTCTGCTGTTCCCCCCCACATGCCCCCCCCTTCACCCCCGCCCACGGTCAGGCGACAACAGCGAGAGCGACAGCGACTCGGACGATCACAGCAAAGGTGCGGCGCGGCGTGAGATGGCCCCGTGGTGGCGTTGACACGAGGGACGGTGACGGACGGACGTGACCCTGCGGACTGCTGCCCATCGCACGCAGAGACGACGGATCCCCCGTGTAGCCTGAACACTTTTCGATTTAAAGCTTTCGTGACTGCAGGGATTCATCTTCTTGGTTCTTTCGGTAAAGTCACGTAGAAGGGAAGTAATAAAATAATAAAACATAATAAAACAATTCTCACGACGTTTCGGCCACAACGCAAGCAGCCGTCCTCAGGTGAAAACCAGGTCCGTCGTGCTGTTTCATTCAGACTCTGTCGCCTCGACGGACCTGGTTTTCACCTGAGGACGGCTGCTTGCGTTGTGGCCGAAACGTCGTGAGAATTGTTTTATTATGTTTTATTTTTATTATTTTATTACTTCCCTTCTACGTGACTTTACCGAAAGAACCAAGAAGATAGCCTGAACACTGTTGGGGCAAGCGCTGTTTGCGAGCACCTATGACAGCCGGCACGGCATAGGAAGGGGTGGGTGGCCAGCAACCACGCCCGGCCGCCTTTGTCTCCCCAGTGGTGATGTTTGTTATCCACCCCGCACCAGGTACTCGTGAAAGGGCCCAGTTAACCTAGGGGAGGCCCAGGCTCGGCATAGATATTAGTCACTGATGTTGACCGTGCGCGGGAATCGAACTTGGGTCACCGCATTCGTAGCACGGCACGCTAATTATTACGCTCCCGCTACATGCCCACATGCACACATGCATATACAGTTTTTACGCGCACGCGAACACTGACGCAAGAACGCACATCCCGGCTAGATTATTACGTGCATTACAATCGACCGATAGATCATCATGGTGTCCATATTTTACTTTCAACCGCTCCGCGACCACCACCCCCCTGCTCCCCCCTCTCCCTAAGCCCCGTGACCTCTGACCCCCCTTCCCCCCCCATGGTGTGGCGAGCAGAGCACGCGTGGAGGCTGGTGCGCATGGCGCGGCTGCGCGCCCGCACACGTGGCCACCGCACGCTGGAGCGCGAGCTGCTCGAGTGGCAGGAGCGCCAGCTGTTCGAGTGCTTCCTGGTGGTGGCGCTGCGCGCCAAGCCGACGGGGCGCGGATACCAGCCCGAGGTCACCTACCAGTTCCCCAAGGTACGTGAGCACCAGCCCCAAGTCACCTACCAGTTCCCCAAGGGGCGCGCTGGTTGTGTTTATGAAAGCACAAGAGACAAGAGTCGGAGTCTCGTTCGCGCGGGCGACGACCCGGCTCGCCGGCAGGCCTTGTGCCCCCCCTGTCCACCCACCCCGGCGTTGTGTGACGTCACCCGGGGGATGTTTGTCTGTGACGTGAAGCTGGAGCGCCTGACGAAGGAGGTGCGGGAGTCCGAGGAGAGGATCAAGGCCATCCCCCAGTTCTGCTTCCCAGACGCACGCGACTGGGCGCCCATCACCCACTACACCAGGTGGGGAGGGGGTGTCTCACCGTGTGTGTCTCACCGTGTGTGTCTCACCGTGTGTGTCTCACCGTGTGTGTCTCACCGTGTGTGTCTCACCGTGTGTGTGTTTCACCGTGTGTCACCGTGTGTGTGTCTCACCGTGTGTGTCTCACCGTGTGTGTGTCACCGTGTCTCACCGTGTGTGTCTCACCGTGTGTGTGTCTCACCATGTGTGTGTGTCACCGTGTGTGTGTCACCGTGTGTGTGTGGTGTGTGTGGTGTGTGTGGGGAGCGGTGGTGTAGCGGTCAGCGCGCTGCGCTCCGAACCTGGCGACTCGAGTTCGATTCCTGCTCACGGCCAACACCAGTGACGATTATCTGAACCGGTCCTGGGCCTCCCCTAGGTTGACTCAGCCTCAAATGAGTACCTGGTGCGGTGTGTAAAAGCATCGCTACTCGAGAGATAAAGGCGGTCGGGCGTGGTGCTGGCCACCCACCCCCTCGTGTGCCGTGCCAGCCTTCATATGTGCTACTCACGAACAGCACTTGCACCTACAGCATGTTAAGGCTATCTGGGGGATCTTTGTCTCCGTTGTTCCGTGACCCCAGTCGGAGAGACTTCGACACCTCGCATGACAGCCTGCCGAACGTGCACCTAGCCTGGCACAAGCGCTGTGGCGACATCACCGCCGCTGGCTGGCCGTTGCGGCTGTTGTTGTTGATCTGTGTTGAGCCGTGCGGTGTTGACGCGCTTGCCCCGTCCGGCCGTGCCTTGCGCAGCGAGATGTTCTCCTTCGTGCTGACGACGAGCGACGGGAGCCGCCGGTTCGGCTACTGCAGGCGTCTCCTGGTAACCGCCGCAATCATCGCAACCGCCGCAATCATCGCAACCGCCGCAATCATCGCAACCGCCGCAATCATCGCAACCGCCCGCAATCATCGCAACCGCCCGCAATCTTCGCCAGCACCACAATCATAGCAACTGTCACAACCACGGCGCAATCACCGCAATATCGCAGTCACATCTGCCTGCAACCACCGCAATCATCACGGCCACAACCACCGCAACTGCCACAACCACCACAACTGGCGCAATAACACAACCACCGCGATCAGCATCGCAACCATCGCAACCAAACCACGACAACCACCGGAACCAATGGAACCATGAAATCACCGCAACCACTGCAACTACCCACAATCTTTTGCAACCGTCGCAACGACGGAAACCTTGCAGCGGCAGCCAGGGCCGTCCTGATGGGGGTGGTGCAGGGCTTGGGGCAACTTGCACCGTGTGGGCTCGCGACGCCTTCAAACTAAAGCGGGAGTGTGATATCAGACGCCGTCACGTCGAATTGCGGGGGCCCCCCATCGGGGATGTCTCTGAGCGCAGCAGGAGAATGGCGCTCCCCGCCTGCGAATGCGAGGCCGCGTGTTTCCCCGTGTTTCCCCGCGTGTTTCCCCGTGTTTCTCCCGCGTGTTTCCCCGTGTTTCCCCGCGTTTCCCCCGCGTGCTTCCCGGTTCCCGAGCGCTGCGCTGCCGTTTTGTGTCTCGCAGCCGAGCGGCAAGGGGCCGCGCCTGCCGGAGGTTCACTGCATCGTCAGCCGCCTCGGCTGCTTCACCCTCTTCTCAAAGGTGCGCGGGGGCGGTGGAGAGGGAAAGTGGCAGGGGTGGGAGATGGAGTGGGAGAGTGAGTGAGTGGGAGAGTGAGTGAGTGGGAGAGTCAGTGAGTGAGTGAGTGGGAGAGTCAGTGAGTGAGTGGGAGAGTCAGTGAGTGAGTGGGAGAGTCAGTGAGTGAGTGGGAGCGTCAGTGAGTGAGTGGGAGCGTCAGTGAGTAGGGGAGAGTGAGTGAGTGGGAGAGAGTGATTGAGTGAGTGGGAGAGAGTGAGTGAGTGGGAGAGTCAGTGAATGAGTGAGTGGGAGAGAGTGAGTGGGAGAGTCAGTGAATGAGTGAGTAGGAGAGAGTGAGTGGGAGAGTCAGTGAATGAGTGAGTAGGAGAGAGTGAGTGGGAGAGTGGAGTGTGTTTGCGAAGGACGTTGCTACTGGGCAGTTGGAGGCAGTCACCCTCCAACAACAGCGGAGGGCAGCGGAGCAACGCTCACAACAACCCGCGGAGCGCCGGGCGTATAAAACGCAGCGACATTCGTAGCACTGTGCGCTCACCACAGCGCCCCGCCACCCCCTCACCAACCCATCGATGTTATCGTCGCTAAATGGTTGCTCCACTCAGGAGGGGGTGGTGGTGGTGGTTGAGAGCTGGGGGCTTCCGCCTCCCGGGGTACAACACCCAGGAGGAAGAGCCACGTGTGAATGCATCGTCTCGAGTGCCTGGTGCGGTGTTGTTCTGATTATTATTGTAATTATTACGCAATGAAGTTGCCCACTGATCGGTGGAGGTGATGGCTACCACGGGAGACGGTGTCTGAATGACAATCCACGTGACCTCCCTTACCACCCTTACCCTCCCTTACCACCCTTACCCTCCACCACCCTTACCCTCCCTTACCCTCGTCTCTGTGTCCCCTGTGTCTCCGTGTCCCAGTGTCCCAGTGTCCCCGCGTCTCTGGATCAGTGGTGGCTGGGGGCAGGGGAGCCTCTCTGCAGTCCAGATAATCCCCAGGGCATCTCCACACTGTCGCAACGCCAATGACAAATCAAGGCCACAGGAAGTCCAGGAAGTCGGAGGGGGGCTGGGGGTGGCGGGGTTGGAGAGTATAGTGGCAGGGCAATGGGGGGAGAGGAATGGTGGGGGGCTAAAGCGGGGAGGGGACCGCTCTCAGTTAACCGGTGCCCCTCCCCCCTCCCTCTTCTCATTGCCCATGCCCCCCTCCTGCGATTCGATGCGTTGTTGCCATTCAAGAACCAATTTATATTTTTAAAAAATATTCCGCGTGACTCAAAAGTATTTTTTTCGTCGTTTTCACTGAGCCAAAGCTCCACCCAGCTCAAGCTTGACTCGCTATCACAGAGTCAACTGTGTGGAGCGCGCCAGTGGCCCCAGGTGGCCGCTGAAATCACGAGACCCGACCATGCGACCGGCGAGAGGCAGAGAGAGACAGAGAGAGGGACAGAGAGAGGGACAGAGAGAGAGGACAGAGAGAGAGGCAGAGAGAGACAGAGAGAAACAGAGGCAGAGAGACAGATAAAGATACAGGGAGAGAGAGGCAGAGTAGCGCGTGCTTGGCTCGAGAGCTGATGGACGAGGGGTCTGATCCGTCGGCTCTCTCCGCCGCCCCCCCTCGCTACAGCGTGGGGGGCTCTTTTATCCAAGCGCTACTCCCCCCCCCCCCCACTCTTCTACCGGGCATTTTAGCGGGGGGGGTGGTGAATGGGACGCTTCGTAATATCGCGAACTACCTGCTCCGGATTGACGGCTGTCCCTGGTTGTACTGGACAGGTCAAGTCCTCGTTTAGCGCGCTAGGAGATGCGTCCCTACACAGTTTCGCGTTAAGCGAAAACAAGCCCCCCCCCCCCCGTAAGTAACGTGATGGTAACAGTAATGATGGTGATGGTCACCTGTGGCGAGATTCCGCCGGCTGACACGAACTGCCTCGCGGGACAAATAACCGAGTGTACGCCGCCGCGTCACTGTATCACTCCGCTCAGCCGCGCAGCTCAAGAAAGTAGTTCGCCGTCAACCCCCGAGACCCCGCGTTCTAACGGGGGGGGGGGGGGGGGGGGGTCAAAGCGTTATCGCGTTAAGCGAGGACTTGCCTTACTGGTTTGCGCCGAGCGTCTCGTTTCTGGTGGCGTGGGGGGGGGGAGGTCGGCTGTGGAATTCTCTCTGCGACCCTTGTGATGGAGACACCGGGCCCGACACGCGGGCACGTGGGGTTGCGATGAGGCGGCGGACTTGTACTCAGAGTGGTTCACGCACCCAGCGATCCGAGTGCGCGCGCGTGTGTGTGCGTACGTGTGTGTGTGTACGTGTGTGTACGTGTGTACGCGTGTGTACGTGTGTATACGTGCGTGTGACAATACGTGTGTGTACGTGCGTGTGTGTGTTTCCGTGTGTATACGTGGGGAGCGGTGGCGTAGCAGTTAGCGCGCTGCGCTACGAATCCGGCTACACGAGTTCGATTCCCGCTTACGGCCAACGGTCCCGGACCACACCTAGGTCGACTCAACCTCAAATGAGTACCTGGTGCGATGTGTAAACATCGTAAACATCGCCACTGCGGAGACAAAGGCGGCCGGGCGTGGTGCTGGCCACCCCAGCCATTCTCGAGCGCCGTGCCGGCCTTCCTAGGTGCTCGCCAACAGCACTTGCCCCAGCAGTCTATTAAAGTCTATACGGGGGTCCTTTGCCTTTGTGAGTCTGCTCAAGTGGGGGTGAGTTGGCGAGTGCTGGGAACCCATCGGCGCCCGATTGTTTTCTCGCCCGGCGGCTGCTGCTGCTGACTCACTCCACTGACTCACTCTACTGACTCACCCGACACGCGCCAGTCTGTCAAACTCGTTCACTCGCTCGCATCGATCGCCCTGCAGCGCTCGCCCCGTCGTGCCCCCCTCCCCTGCCCCCCCCCCGCCCCAGTGCCCCCCACCTCGCTACGGCCTGATTCACTGCAGCCAGAAACGACACAGCCTTGTTCCGCTGAGCTCAGAACGGCGAGGTTCAACCCCACAACCAGGTGCGAAGGCAAATATCCGGCCCCTTACTACCTGAGATGCGTACGTGTTATTTGGCACGATGTCCGACGTTTCGTTTCCCGGAGCTTCTTCAGAATGACATCGTGCACGAACGACGCGCGACGCGAACAACAACAACAACCCACGGCTGTCATGCCTCCCACTCTGCCTAGACCCTCGTGTTGTTTCTGTCCTGAGGGGTGCCCCCCCCGCCCCCGTCTGTCTCAAACATCAAAGAGGTGGTGGGGGGGGTGGACATCTGGGGGTCTCAGGTGTAGTAGGCGCGAGACGCCGTGGTGACGTCGTCACGCCCCCACCGTCGCTCCGTTCCTGTCCCGTCAAATTACTGCGGCGCCGAACATCGCGCGCGGAATTTTTGTTGTTGCCGTTGCCCGGCGGGTGGCGGTGGGGGGGGGGGCACGGCGAGCCGCTGACTCGATCCCTCGCTTCGCCTGCCACGCGGGAGGGACGTGGGCTCGATCCCGGATCACCCCGACGATGCCCCCCTTAGTTGTGTTGCTTTTACAAGAGCTGCTCTCAATGTCCGTGTGATGAGCAAATTGGTTGAGCGATCGTTTGTGGTCAGGTCGCTTCTGAAAAATATTTGGAATCCGCGTGTTCTCTCTGTCTCTCTTCCCGTGTTGGTGGCGTGGATTCTTCTCCGGGTTTCTCCGATTCTACCCTCCCCCCACATGTATAAACGACACGCGTTTACATGATACGGCCGCAACTATAAATTCCCACGTGCGTTGATGATGACGACGATGATGATGATGTAATCCACTTCTGTGAGCTGTCACGTGTGGCCCCAGGCCGCCTCTGAAAAGAAGTAGCTCATAGCTCAGGTGCGATCTCTACCTGCTGAATGAAACGACCCAGCTCCAGCGTAATGACGACACCTTTTATTGATCCCCGAGAAGAGCGCTGCGGGGGAGCGCGATCAGAGCGCGACTGGGAGGAGACGGGGGATGGGTGGGGGGGTTGTCGGGATGGAGGTGGGGGGAGACCGCCCAATGCTCCGCCGCACGGGTAGATTAAAGAATCTAAATGGAGGAACTCCTCTCTTGAGCCGAGTCGCGAGCAAGCATTAACTCTCGATGTTTGAAATAAGGAGCGCTGGCATTTCCTGGGGGGTCCTGGCGCCGTGCGCGGATCTGTGGCATGCACACACACGTACACACACACACACGTACACACACACACGTACACACACACACGTACACACACACGTACACACACGGACACGCGTGTACGTGTGTGTGTGTACGTGTTTGCACGCCTGGGATAGATGCAGGGCGGAGGGGGGTTGCGCTGTCAAAAGCAGCTGGCAGTGAATTACAAAAAACTAAAAAATTAAACCGGAACCAGCGACTCCTAAAGAGCACAGCCTTCCCTACGGCCCTGTCCCCCCCACCCCCTCCCATCCCCTCCCATCCCCCTCCCATCCCCTCCCATCCCCCCATCCTGCTCGCACGCTCCCCCCACCCCTCCTCTCTCCATCGCCCGCTCCTGAAATCGCCCCCCGCCCCCCTTGGGATCCAAATCAGCTCCAGGTGACGTGGGGAGTTCACGAGATGCCTCCTTCCTTCAAAGCCACAACCGGCACGCACACACGCACACACGTGCACGCGCACACACGTGTTCGCGCGCACACACACGTGTTCGCGCACACACGTGTTCGTGTGTGTGCGTGCGATGCAGACAGAGAGGCCCACGCGTAGCCAACACGAAACCGTTGGGGCCAGTGCTGTTAGCGAGCACCCAAGCAAGGCCGGCACGGTGCAACGTGCACGGCCGCAGCGCCACCGCTCCCCGTGCATTGTCATTGCACAAGTGTGTAACATGGCACACGTATACGTATGGTCCCCCGTATAACCTTAACAGACTGTGGGGGCAAGTGCTGTTAGCAAGGACATGTCACACACACACGTACATACACATGACGCACGTACACACCATGCACACACAGTACACACGAACAGTGCAGACGTGCATCATGCATGCATATCTCACGCACACATCAACGACACATACACACACAAACCATACAAACGCGCTTCTCATTTAAGGCAGAATCGACCTAGGGGAGGCACAGGACCGGTTCAAATATTCACCACTGTTGTTGCTCGTGGGCGGGAATCGAACTCGGGCCGCCAGGTCGGCCGCGTTGCGCAGTACGCTCACCGCTGCGCCACCGCTCCCCACGCACACACGCACATGCACACACAGGCACACACCCCCAAACGGGGGCGGATGTGCGTGCTTCAGCATTGGGTCCCACAAGATGACCCGCACCACGGCATGCGCCGCAGTCGATCCCACGGCAGTGAGACTCGGCGCTGGTGACACTCGCGCCTCGCAGCAACAAGGGCCTGGGTTTGACTCCCTATCACAGGCGCTTTTTTCCAGTTTATACGTTGTCCCCCCCCCCCCCCCCCCGGTACGGTTCGGGCACACTCTGGGTCATTTGGCCACAGGACCGCTGCTGCTGTGAGCGGCTCTCCATCCGTTTCCTCGGTGTATTCTGGTTCCCTCTCAGAACTGGTATGCATGTACGTTGGACTTCCTTCGCACCGTACATATCTAACCATGCTTAACGGGGGTGAACGTATGTTTGTTGAACTTCTTTTGCAGCGTACGTAGCCAACCGTGCTAATCGGAGGTGCGGAGGAAGGTCGTTAAACTAAAACGCAAGAAACAGTTCTCGCTGAAGAAACAACCGTGCAATGCAATTGGTATTGACCAATAAATATATCCCATTAGCTGGGGAAATTAGCTGCACATTAATTGGGATTCGTACACCAGCAGCAGCAACATCATCAAAGCCCCCCCCCCCCCTACCTCACCCATACTGTGACAGACGTGGCAAGACTCCAGAAGAAGATTCCTGAGACTCGGCGAGGCTCTCGTGGGCAAGCAAGCAGAACGATAATAATAGAGACAGAGGAGATGCACACGGGTCCCTTGCTCTGGAGTGATCGTCAGCATTCATCAAATGCATAACCACCATCATCATCATCATCGTGCACATTCATTCATTGTCCTCATGCAGGGGTCATCATCCAATCACCATCGGCGTAATCACACTTCACCGTTGTAATTTTGCGATCGTCATGAGCAATAACTTAACGTGGAATTAACACGATGCGTGATAGTTTTACGTCACTCACGAAGTTACTCATCACACTGCATGGCCATCGAAGGCGCCGCCACCACCGCCACCACCGCCACCATCGCCACCACCGCCACCATGGTCGATGTCGTCGTCGTCAAAACGGAATGAGATTGTTTTCAAGTGACCCGTCATCATCGTCTCGGTCGGTATCATCATCATCATCTCGGTATCATCGTCATCGTCTTGGTAGCATCATCACGACCATCGGCTCTCCATCCATCGGCGGCTCACGTTCTCACAGTCGTCACGTTTTTAGGTCAGTTCCTAAAAAACGTACAGCTGCGCCGGGTGGTATTTTTAGAAACTCCAGCGTCGACTTCCAATTCTAGCCACGAGTAAAAAAATAAATAGGAATAATAAAAATAGTAGTAGTAATAATAATAATAGCTCCCGGGTCGGTGTTCTGGGCGAGACCCGGGCCAGAAACACCCCCCCCCCCCCCCCCCCACGTCGCGCGCTTTCCTGTTTGCAGTGCGTCTTCCTGTCTTTGTGTGTGTCTCTCTCTCGGTGTCTCTGTCTCTCTCTCCCCTCTCTTCTCTCGCCCTCCCCTCCCCTCTCGAGTCTACCTTCCCACAACCCCCCCCCCCCCCGCTCTCAACTCCTTCACATTTCCCCCTCGTGCAGGGTTTGTCCCCTCCAAAATCTGTCTCCACCGCTGGGGCCTCGCAGCGGCTTTTGGCGCGGCCATCGAACAAAGGCGGCGGTCACAGAATCGTCTTACGGCCGTCTGGAACTCTCTTCCTTCCGATATTAGGAAGCCACTGGAGCTGTGCACTTTAACTCATCATCATCTAGATCGACACACTCATATCTTTAGAGCAGCTTGTTGTTGTGTTTAGTTTGTTGTTCTTCCCACCGCACCTCCGATTAGCACGGATAGCTACGTACGGTGGTGCGAAAGAAGTTCAACATGCACACAAAGGCGTGAGCATGTGATCTCTGTGTATTATGGCCTTAGAAAACAGGGGAGGGGGGGGCTTGGGGTGGGGGGGATCTCCATAACCACCAACAAGGTTGTGAACCTCTGGCTCAAGACTCCACCTGGGGCAGGGCTCTTCATTGCAAGGCCCGTGGGCCGCTGGCGGCCTTTAGTGCGGCCCCCTGACAACTGCCAACACGTGACAACACCCCCACAATCATCATCATCATCATCGTGCTGCTGTCAAACCCCCAATGGTTTCAAATGTGTGGCGGCCGTCACACTGACGATGTCTTTGACACTGGAAAGAAAGGGCTCATATTGTAGCTGCTCACCCCGAGCTCCCAATGCCCTGAGAGTGGCGTTGTCTTTGTGCTGTTCGCCTTTTGGCGTTCTCTGGTCGAGCACTTTGAGACTAGGCTCGAAAGAAAGCTGTCTCTTGTGTGGACCAATCTGTTTCAAAGACAAAGCCTCAAATATTACATCAGAGCACGTTCTTTTGTGTTTGCATGTTCACCACAATTACGTGTGGTTAATGGAGACAGGATTCTTTGAAAAATGTGATTCTGTTTGGTGTTATAACATCTTAACACCACTGTTTTATTACAAGAAAGAGTAAAACCTATTGTTTTATGTTTCCATGATGATCATGTCTCTGACTGATGAGTGAAGAACATTGACCCGGGGCTTCCTTCGTGGCTGTGGTGATGACGTCATGTGCCCCCCCCCCCCGTGCCCCCCACCGCAGATCCTGGACGAGGTGGAGAGGCGGCGGGGGCTGTCGGCCGCCCTCGTCTACCCGTTCATGCGCGCACTCGTGGAGGCGCCCTTCCCGGCCCCGGGACGCACCGTGCGCGTGTCGCTCTTCCTGCCGGGCGCCGGACACGAGGTGAGGAGGGAGGCTCTGTCCGCTGCTGGATGGCGAGGGCCTGCGACCCGCGTGGCGCAGGGGCGGGCGGGTGGCGGTGGGGGGACGTCACGGCGCCCTCCGTTACGCGTCAGGGGGGGTCGTGCGCCGCGAGGTCCGACGTTTCGCTTCACCGCCCCACGCGCGCAAGCGAGCTTCATTGAGAAATCCGAGAACCCGTTGCAGCGGAAAATCCGCGCCAGTATTGTACCGTACTACGGTGAGCAGCATAGCGATGTGATTAGACAAGAGGGGCCACGCTGCTGTATAATCGCCTCGGTGCGACCGTGCGAGACAAATCAAAGGTTGGAGGGCCCCACCTGACCGATTGCCGCACCCCCCCCCCCCCCCCCGAGCTGATAATGTCGTGACTACGTCACTGGTTAGGATGGTAGGGGTCAGTGCCACCTTTGTCTCTCCACTGCTCACCACGCTGCTGATCAAAGGACACAACGCTTGAGTAGTAATAAGAGGCGGAGGTGCCAATTAACCGGAGCCGCCTGCCGCTGGAGACGAGACGGAGGTGCCGCGCCTTGGGCCACGTGGTCGACGCAGGCCCGAGGGCGACCACAACGTAGGGCAGGGTGCTTATTTAGTGTCATTATGTTAAAGTGCTCCTTTGAGTGATTTATATCAACGCGTTTATCTCCCACTACTTATCTCCAAATAAGACTCGGCCGTCCCGACAGGGTCAGGGTTTTGGCCCGGGAAGGATAAGGCGAGCAAAACTTGACACCGCACAATGACAACAGCAGCAGGAGCAGCAGCAGGTCGTTGTGCACAGCAGAACAAAGCTTTTGTCTTTGAGAGGAGGCCGACCTGAGCGGACGAATGAAGGGAGATGCGTGCGTTGCGGTGGCCGGCGGTGGTGCCCACTATACACAGACGACGATAATGCGCGGTTTGGAAAGCGTTTCGACGAAGCTGCCAGCGGTTATCTTGTTGTGTCCTATGATCAGCAGCGTGCCCCCCCCACCCCCCAGTCTTTGATTTGTCTCGCACGGTCACACCGAGGCGATTAACACAGTGGCGTGGCGCCGCTTGGCCAGTCACATCCCAGCCCCTGAGACGGATGAAGAGCAGCAGCAGTGTGATGGGCACAGACACGAGTTTTATTCCCGCTCACGGCCGCCAACACCAGTGACGATTATCTGAAGCGGTCCTGGGCGTCTCCTAGGTCGACTCGACCTCAAATGAGTACCTGGTGCGGTGTGCAAACATCGCCATTAGGGAGACAAAGGCGGCCGGGCGTGGTGTTGGCCACCCACCCACCCTCTCGTGTGTCGTGTCGGCCTTCATAGGTGCTGCTACTCGCTTCCCCTACAGCCTGAACAGTCTGTTACAGGCTGTAGGGGAGGGGGGTCGTTTACAGAATGTATCACACAGACGAGGCCCCCTCCACCCTCACCTTCACTCCCACTCACCTTCGCCCCCCCCACCTTCGCCTCCCTCCTCCCCCTCCACCTTCGCTCCCCCCCCCCCCACCTTCGCCCCCCCCCCCACCTTCGCCCCCCCCCACCTTCGCCCCCCCCCCACCTTCGCCCCCCCCACCTTTGCCCCCCCCACCTTCGCCCCCCCCCACCTTCGCCCCCCCCCCCCCACATTCGCCCCCCCCACCTTCGCCCCCCCCCACCTTCGCCCCCCCCCACCTTCGCCCCCCCCCCCCACCTTCGCCCCCCCCACCTTCGCCCCCCCCCACCTTCGCCCCCCCCCTCCCTCCCCCAAACAGACGATCGAAATGCGGCGGCCCAGCGACTCCCGCCTGGAGCACGTGGACTTCTCCTGCCTCCTGTCGTGCCTGGGCCCGCGGCAGCTGCTGCGCGTCTTCTCCTCGCTGCTCATGGAGCGCAGGGTCATCTTCACCGCCGATAAACTCAGGTGGCGCAGGGGCTGGGGGAGGGGGCATGGGGGTGGGGGTATGGAGCAGGGAGGAGGGTGGGGAGCTAATTCTAATTGATTGGCAGTCCTAGGCCAGTGGTGCAGGTTGTACAGGCCGATTTGGATGTGTGCGCGTGCGTGTGTGGTGGTGGTGTCTGTGTGTATGGGGAGCGGTGGCACAATGGTTAGCGCATTGTGTGTGCGCGCGAGGGTGTGGGGAGTGGTTAGTAGCGCTGCTCCACGAACCCAGCAGAGGACCCGAGTTTGATTCGCACTCACGGCTACCAACACCGGTGACGATTATCTAAACCGGTCCTGGGCATCCTCTAGGTCGACTCGGACTCAAATCAGCATCTGGTTGGGTGTGTAATTATCGGCGCTAGGGAAAAACAAGTCGGCCGGGCGCGGTGCTGGCCACCCGCCACCTCGTGTGCCGTGTCGGCATTCACAGGTGCTCGCTAGAACATCACTTGATCCAAGGCGACACGGGGAGGGGGTGGGGGTGTTTGTCTTTGTTGTGGGTTAGGGTTGCCACACTATCCAATGTGGACCAAACCCTCACCTAAGGCAGTCGAGGTCTCACATCAAACCTGTGCTGTCGGCAGTCATAAAGTTCAGCACAACAGCGATACCCGATATCGATGCAAATCAATTCCTGGCACCGCAACACAGGAATGCCAATTCCCGGGCAGCTGGCAACCCCCCTGGCTCTGTGTGTGTGGAGCGCTGGCCTCAACGTGCACGTAGCCTGGCACAAGCGCCGTGGTGACGTCACCGCCACTTAGTGGCGAATGGAGGTTGTTGTTGGAGCGGTGGCGCAGCGGTTAACACGCTGCGCTGCGAAATTTGGCGACGCATGGTTTATTCCCGACTCGTGGACAAAATCTGAATCTCTCCTGGCCACCTCCGCAAGTTCAACTCGGCCTCGTTACACGGAGCGGTCCTTTCGCTGTGGGCGTCGGGGAGACGAAGGCGGCCCCTGGGGTGGGGCTGCCCCCACCCCACCACGCCACCCTCTCGCTTCACAGGAGACTTCCTTGCGCCCTCCACTGCTTGAGAACGGAATAGCGGGGGAAGGCGGTGGCCGGGCCCTGAGAAGAGTATCTGCTGCTGGTGGTGCTGCTGCGTTGGCAGCGGTGCACATGCAAAGACAACAACAACAGTGTGGCCTTGAATTGAGAATTGTACAAAAGGCGACGTTTCGGGTAATGACCCTACTTACATTTTTTTACGAGGTGTTAAGGCCCACTGAGCTATGCTTCATGGCTCTTTTTCTGAAGCGACCTGGCCACAAATGATAGTTTAGCGAAGTGGCTTATCATGTGGGAGTCTCACGACTTGTGAGTCTTCTGGAGTCATGGGCCTCAGGTTCTTGGGGACTCTTGGTCTCAATGCCTCCGAATCTCAGTCCACAGGTTCTCTAAAGAGTTTCATGGTTCAGGGTCTCAATAGTCTCTGAGATTAAACGACAACTCAACTATTTTTTTATTTTACCCGGGTAGGTCCACTGAGCTGTATAGCTCTTTTTCTGAAGCGACCTGGCCACAAATTATAGTTTAGCGAAGTGGCTTATCATGTGGAAATTCATAGCAGCCAAATACTCTTAAGTGCATGTTAATTCTAAATGTGGAGGTTAAAACCGGAGGACCCGGAGAAAAATCCACGCCACCAGCGGGAGAACATACAAACTCCAAATATACAGGCGTCGGGATCGAATGCACGACGTCCTGTATACCAGGCGAGGTAGTTAACATCTCGTCACCCCGGTGCCCTTCGTAGCGAGTGACCAGTAGCAGGCTTTGTGTCTGCTTCATATCGGCTTCAGTGACATACTCGACGGAAGGCACGTGATGTGGTTCACCGATGATGAGGATAGCGTGATGTGCAGTTGTCGTTAAGCACGAGACGTGGAGTGATGTCAAACTTTAGACCGAGGCCGCTCTATGAGTGGAGCATTTATTGAACTGTCCAGATGGAAGTGAGACGCGTGGTGTGAGTGTGTGTCCAGGGGAGCAGTCGTGTAGAGGTTACCGCGCTGCGCTACATAGCCGGCTACCCGAGTTCGATTCCTGCTCACGATCAACACCAGTGACAATTATCTGAACCGGTACTGGGCCTCCCCTAGGTCGACTCGGCCTCAAATGAGTACCTAGTGCAGTGTGTAAACATTGCCACTAGGGAGACAAAGGCGGCCGGGTGTGGTGCTGGCCACCCACCCGCTCGCATGCCGTCCCAGCCTTCATAGATGCTCGCTAACAGCACTTGCTTCAACAGTCTGTTAAGGATACACGGGGGATCTTTGTCTCCGTGTCCAGGGTGGGGGTTGGGGGTGGGAGCCACAGTGGGGGAATGTTAGCAGATGTCCGGGATGAGACCAGCATCGCGAGCAAAACATTCCTCAACTTCCACAAATTCCTGAATTTCCACAAGTGCTTACACGTGTGCGTCCATATGCAAGCGTGCACGTGCGTGCATGTGTGTGTGTGTGCGTGTGTGTGTGCGTGTGTGTGAGAAGCAATGGCGCAGCGGTCAGCGCGCTGCGCTACGATCCCAGCAGCCCAGGTTCGATTCCCCTCTCACGGCCACCAGCGACAATTATCTGAACCGGTCACGGGCCTCTCCTAGGTCGACTCAGCCACAAATGAATACCTTGGTGTAATGTGAAAACTTTGGCACTAGGGAGACAAAGTTGGCTGGGCGTGGGCCTGGCCACCCACCACCTCGTGTGCCGTGCCGGCCTTCATAGGTGCTGCTACTCGCTAACAGCACTTGCCCCGACAGTCTGTTAAGGCTACACGGGCGATCTTTGTCTTTTGTGGCACCACGCTCACGTGTGCCATTCCGACCTTCGTAGCCTCTCCCATGCAGCACTTGACCCGGACCGTTCTCCGTGGGGCTGAAGGGGAGATCTTTGTCCGTGTGTGTGTGCGCGTGTGTGTGTGGTGGGCTTTGTTAAGTACGAGCCATTCACTTCTGGCCAGTGACCTCCAGGAGTTGGGTCTAATCATTACCAGCCTGGGCAACAGAGAGAGAGAGCGGCCGCCCCTGACCTCTCTGGGTGCTGCACATCAGAGAGAGCGGAGAGGGGGCGGTTCAAATCCCAACGGCTTCCGTGAACGATGGGAAATCATCGCATCGCAGCACGGGGGTCGAGTCCCCGTCCGTACTTTGTGGCGGTGTCGCGTTCGCCGCTCGCCGCCGACGTGTTGGCGCTTCGAATCCAGCGGCCACTCTGGTTAATACAACTTATTTGGAGCTTTCGTGACTGCAGGAATTACTCTTTGGTTATTTCGGTAAAGTCACGTAGAAAGAGAAAATTATAAATTAAAATACTAGCATACGACGTTTCGATTGCAACACAAGCAATCATCATCAGGTATAAATGAAATAGAAAACACAAATCTAGTATACTTAGAAATGTAATGTAAATAAACAGAGAGTCGGATAACATAACAGTCAACACCCTACCTGGTTGATTACGTTCTTCCTGAGAATGCTAAATTTGAGAGAGAGATAAAACACAGAACCAGAGACATATAGACAGACATATAAGCAGACAGATATCACCTCTGGTTAATGCCGCGGGTGTGACGAGCACAGCAATACTGAATCAAGGCTGCCCCGCGCTCGGGATGTAGCGTTAGGGCGAGAGATGTTGAATGCCGGAGATGACGCGTGTGTGTGGGGCAGTGCTTTGTCTAATGGGGCAAGGAAAGACATGGGGGCAATGGTTGTGTCTCGTGGGGGCGAGACGGCACGTGTGGGGCATCGCTGTGCCTGGAGGGCATGGCCGTGCATGCAGAGCCACCGGCTATGTTGTTGTGTGTTGAACTTCTTTCGCACCATATGCAGCCAACCGTGCAAATGCGTGGGCATTGGCTATCGTCACGAGGCTATGTGATTGTGTTATCCCAATGCATGCATTGAACCCCCCCCCCCCGCCACCCCCACCCCACGCCCGCCCCCCACACGCACCTCAGCAGAGGGGACATGGATATTTATAGGGTGAGTTGTAAAAGTTCGTGCCGTTTCCTCCGCACTGTCCGTCCGCGTGTGCGGGGTTATTCCTGCAGGATGTGCTCGCGCACTCGGACGGGGGGGGTTAGGGAGGGGGGAGGGGGGGTGGGAAGGGGGGGTTAGGGAGGGAGGGTGGGAAGGGGGGGTGGGGGGGGGGCGGTGCCGTCCCGACTGACGCCACACGCGACGATCGAAGGCGTGCACCTAGCCTGGCACGAGTGCCGTGGTGACGGCCGCCGCCACTTGGTGGCGAGCGACGGTTGTAGTTGTAACGATTTGGGAGTTGGATGCAAGAAAAAAATTTCACCCATCGCGGTCGAACTCGCTCATTCCCTGCGGGGCTCCAATCAGCGTCCAGGCACCGACGTTCATCGCACGTTTACAGCCCTGCAGAGCTAGTGGTGGAAATTCCACATTCCTGCGGCAGGGGCAAGTATAACCAGAGGACATCCACTGTTGACTTCCTACTGTACAAAGTGGTACTCGTTTTATCGACCCCGGAGACAGGAATGATGGGCTGAGACACCGCCCCCCCCCCCCGCCACCAACCAGAAGTTGAACTCGCAAACTCGTGATTGCGAGCAGCTTGCCCTACCGCTGAGCACCACCACGTGGTCGCTTGAGGCCGGCGCAAATCTCCCCCACGCATCTTCCGAAAGAGTCCGTCCGGCGACGTTTGGTTTGAGTGCATAATTAGGGGTGTGATGATGGTCCCCAGTTTCCTTCCACGTGTATATAAACACTCGTTCATTGGCTACTCACAACTTAATAAATAGAGGACCGCAGAACTTTGGGGAGGGGGGGCATTCTGTGCCACCTCTTTGTCCGGCGGCTCCTTTCCCCACTCAGCAACAACAACAACAACTACCACAACGGTGGTGCGGAAGCAGGAGTACAATCGGCGTCGTTTAATTCACCCTCCACTTGTGAATTGCTGCGTCGGGTGGAGGAGGGTTTTATGACTCAACTTTTTGTCACACCACGACCTAAACCCAAAAAACCCACGTGTGAATAACTACTTTTCTATTTATTTTTTATAGGGACCCATTGCAAATTCGACGGTCACGGGCGAGTGAACACTCGGTGGGCGGGCGATCTGTGGGATGCGCCCTCTGGGCTCGTGAGTCTCCCGCCAGGGTGTGCGTGTTCACGATGTGATTACAAAACAAATGTTTTATTGGACAAGTGCCCCCGAGGGCAGGTTGCTGACGGGGCACGAGACGGGGGAGGAGGAGGTTCAGCTCTGTCCTCCTCGCGTCGAGGCGACGACGGCGAACTGTGGTGTTTTCTAGGGGAGGGTGGAATGTACCCAACACACACAACATCTAGCAAGTAGAACGGCGTACACGTGCCGAGCGAGCTTGTCGTCAACGTACATCCCCTGGGGCAGCGACTACCTCATGCCTATCCATGGAGGTGGTGAACAATTATTCTTCAAATCTGAATTCTAACCCTACCCCCTTCTTCACGCCTTGGCCGTGTGCCCCCCCCCCCCCCCCCCCCGTCCAGCACCCTGTCGAAGTGCGGGCACGCGGCGGCGGCGCTGCTCTACCCCTTCGCGTGGCAGCACACCTACGTGCCCGTCCTGCCCGCCTCCATGCTGGACATCGCCTGCTCCCCCACGCCCTTCCTCATGGGCGTCCTCTCCTCCACGCTGCCCAAACTCCAGGAGCTGCCGCTCGAGGAGGTGACCACGGGGAGCGAGTGGAGGGAGGGGAGTGGAGGGAGGGAGGGAGGGGAGTGGAGGGGAGTGGAGGGAGGGGAGTGGAGGGGAGTGGAGGGGAGTGGAGGGGGGGGAGTGGAGGGATTGGAGGGAGGGAGTTGGAGGGAGTGGAGTGGATGGAGTGGATGGAGGGGATGGAGTGGAGGGAGTGGAGGGAGTGGAGGGAGTGGAGGTAGTGAGTGGAGGGAGGGCCTCGCCAAGTCCCACAGCTCGTTCCACATGGCACCGCGGTGGCTAGGAGATGTTAACTACCTCGCTTGGTATCCCAACCCTGACGCCTGTTGTATATTTGGAGTTTGAGTGTCTTTCTCCCCATGGCTGCTTGGATTTTTTGGCTACTATAAATTTCCACACGATGATAAGCCACTTCCTAGAGCTATCATTTGTGCCAAGGTCATGTCTGAAAAAGAGATTTCTAGCTCAATGGGCCTTACATGGCAAAACAAGTTGATAGTTTGTCGTTCGCAGGAGGGTCCTGCCAACTTAGTTCTGACAGTGGCCCGAGCCATGGTTGTTTATTATATTTTTCCGGTTGGGAGTAATTTGCGAGTAATCTTTGCAGCATTGGGATGTTTACATTGCGTGGTTTTTGTCTACGTCTGCGGTGGTAATTCTTCAACTTTGGACCATGACGCAGGCACACAATGACCCCACGGGGGGACCTTTAACGTCGACGGTGAAACGCATCTTGCACAGTGGCAATATTATTGCGGTTATTCCACCCGCAGTACTAACGAGGGCGGCCGCTGGATTCGAACCTCTTCAACGAGTGGCCGCTAGTTGACGATCGCTGTGTGCGGTGATCCACCCAACCCTCGCTGCTACCTCCACACTGGTCACGTGCAGCAGCAGCGTAGCCACCAGCACCACCACCTGGCTCACCACAGTCTGTGCCGCGTGTCGCGTGCAGGTGCTCGTGGTGGACCTGTGCAATAACCGCTTCATCAGACAGGTGAGTAACCTCGCACACAGACACAGATCTGCCGTGTAGAGCCTTGACAGCAGACTGTTGGGGTAAGTGCTGTTAGCGAACACCAATGAAGGCCGACATACCACACGAGGCGGTGGGTGGACACCAGGACCAGGCGTGGGTTTGAATCTCGCTCATGGTCCAAGCCAGTGACGATTACCTGAACTGGGGCTGGAACCCCGACTTGAACCAAGCATCATGCTGCTGAAGGACGTCGTGTGCGTGTCACTATGAACCCGGTGACCCGAGTTCCATTCACACCCACGGCCAATAACAGCGACGAATATCTGAATCGGTCATGGGCCTCCCCGTAGGTCGGCTCAGCCTCAAATTAGTACTTGGTGCGGTGTGTAAACATCAGCACTGGGGAGACAAAGGTGGCCGGGCGTGGTGCTGGCCACCCACCCCCTCGTGTGCCACGGCAGCCTTCATCGGTGCTACTCGCTAACAGCACTTGCCTCAACAGTCTATGAAGACTATCCGGGGTATATTTATCTTTGTCTGGGAAAGGGGGTGGGGGTTCGGCAGGAAGCTCTGTCCGAGACCAGCTACACAAACACTCGTTACCACCACCACCACAGGCAGCAGCAGCAGCAACTGCCCCACATCCACCGTCTCCACAGGGCCACTTTCATATCGTTTCACAAAATACATAAGGTGACATCATACCTCCGTCCCTTTATCTGTGCATAAAATAAATAAACGTATATATAAATATATAACTTGTATTTTTGTTACACATTTATTTACATGTCCCCATCAATCCGCCGCACGGCCTTCTGGGGGTGCATCTTATCAGCAGCTGTTTTTTTCCTTTAATGCGAGCACAACTTTGGACCGTTTCAACACTCAGTGCCTCAGCAGTAGAGGCATATTCTCTGGAGCCAATGCAGATGATCTGCCAGATGTTTTCAGACAAAGAACTCTCTCTCTCTCTCTCTTAGAGATGTGGGTGGCAGTTCAACGCAAAACGACGTAAATATAAGCAGATGCAACTCCTGCCTAGGCATCGTTATGATGTCGTTTGGATTCGTGTGCGGCGTTCACCGAAATGAAGCATCGCTTGTAGAAGCAACGGTAGAAACACCACAAATCAAACCGTTTTAATTTCAGTACATAGACAGCATTTGTAATTTTCGTTTTGTCGTCGAGTGATTGATGGAGTACGGCGAAACGCCTGCACGACAACGGGCAGCGTGGTGGTGTGGTGGTGAAAACTCGCGGCTATCCGTACAGAGTTCGTACGTTTCTCCTGCTCTCCGTGGGCTTTCTCCGGTGGCCTCCCGCAGGCCGGGCAAGCGAGTGGCCAAACCCTTCCCACGCCAGGGACTGCCAATCTTGAAAACTTCAACAACACGGACAGCGGAATTCTTATTGATCGTTATTGTTGTTTACCCAGGAAAGCCTCACCAAGTCTTGAGACTATTTTTCAGGAGGGTCTTGCCAATCTTCCGCGGTAGGCAGGGGGGGTGACGATTGTCAAGCGGTTCCCCAGTCCACACTTGGCCTCTAATCAAAACTTTGCAGTGCGCTGCAGCGAAGTCACAAAACTACGATACCGCAACCACATCACGTAAAAACAAATCGATTCCCGCTTCCACCCGAAGACAGACGTCGATTATTCCCGACTTGTCCTGGCCGCAGCCGATCGGGTGACGATCCTCATACACCCGGCAGTATTAACCAGGGCGGCTTACCGGGGTCAGACCCGCGAGCCTCTGCAACGAAGGGGCGATCGCGCTGCGTCTGGGCTGTGCGTGCGAATCGCCCATCCATCTCCACGCCGCCCCTCGCTCGCCGTCCCCCCGTCTCCCGGCTCGGCCGTCTCGATTTCACGGTGCCGGCGTCCCGTGGGCTTTTACGGACGGCATTGGTCGATGGAATTTCCAGGAAAACGGCGGCGATTTACGTACGAGGAGGCCTCGTGCATTGAGTGGGCGAGGACTCGCGTGAGTCAGCGCGAGTGTGCGCAAGTGTGTGTGTGGTAAAGTGCGTGGGGAGCGGTAGCGCGCTGTGCTACGAACCTGGCGACCCGAGTTCGATTCCCGCTCACGGTCAACACTAATGACGATTATCTGAACCGGTCCTGGGTCTCCCTTAGGTCGACTCAGCCTCAAATGAGTACCTGGTGTGGTGTGTAGTAAACATCACCACTAAGGAGACAAAGGCGGCTGGGCGTGGTGCTGGTTACCCACCCCCTCCTGTGCCATTCTGGCCTTCATATATGTGCTCGCTAACAGCACTTGCCCCAACAGTATGTTTAGGTTATATGGGGGATCTTTGTCTTTGTTGGGGAGCGCTTCACTGCGCTATGAAACCGGCTACCCGAGTTCACGGCCAACATCAGTGGCGATTATCTGAAGCAGTCCTGGGCCTCCCCTAGGTCGACTCAGCCTCAAATGAGTACCTGGTGTGGTGTGATATGAACATCGTTACTGGGGAGACAAAGGCAGTTTGGCGTGGTGCTGGCCACTCACCCCCTCGTGTGCCAACCCAGTCTTCAAAGGTGCTCGCTAATAGCCCTTGCCCCAACCATCTGATCAGCCTATTTGGGGGGTCTTTGTCTTTGTTAGAGATATATGTGCTTGCCTTAGTCATCTGCCAGTCATCTCAGTAAACTCATAACACCTGGGTCTGTTCCGTGACCTCCTATCAGCAATCCTTCAGCACTTCACGTGATAGCCTCAAGGTGCACTTAGCCTGGCACAGGTGCTGCGGTGATGTCACTACCACTTAGTATCCAATTATTCGTGTGTGTGTGCCAACGTTGTTTGTGCGCTGCACTACAAACAATTCCCAGCAATGGCTGTTACCTCCTTTTGGGTCGACTCAGCCTTAAATGAGTAGCTGGTGCGGTAACTAAACATCAGCCAGGGGGAGGGAGACAGGCGGCCGGGCGTGCGGCCGGGCGTGCTGCCGGCAACACCACGCCCTCATAGGTGTGCCGTGGCGGTCTTCATCGGTTACTGCTGCTGGCTTTTAACAGCACTTGCCCTGAGAGGCTGTGAAGCTATAACGGGGGGGATCATTTGCCTTTGCCTGTGCGGCGGTGCCAGCTGGACGATGACGACGGCGTCATTCCGCGCAAGCTGCACGCCGCCCTCGAGCAGGTGCTGGAGCAGCGCAACCTCATCGCCAGCAGCGCCGTGGACAGCGACGACGACGACGCGGACGACGGAGACGCAGGTGACCCGCCCACCTCCCCCCAACACCAACACGCGCCATTGGCCACTGAGTGACGGTGACGTCGGAGCCTGCGCCAGGCCAGGTGCGCTTTGAGGCCACGTGGAGTGTCAAAAACTCGCTGACGGGAGGTCACGTGACAGACGCAGCAGGTGCCGTGGTTGGCTGACTGAGATGACCGGCGGACGCGCCAGCTGTGCCAACTTGGTGCATTTTAGCTGCCGGGCGCTCCGCTGGTTGTTGTGAGTGTTTTGTAGTAAAGTAAAACAAATAAAACGACGCCACGACGATGCAACTCTATAACCGGCTAACGGCGCCCCCGGGGCCTTTCTTCCCCCGCCCCCCTTCCCCCCCCGCCCCCCTTCCCCCCCCTTCCCCCCCGCCCCTCTTCCCCCCCCTTCCCCCCCGCCCCTCTTCCCCCCCCTTCCCCCCCGCCCCTGCCCCTTGCCCCCCCCCCCACACGCACGGCGACAGGCGAGGCCAGCGCGGCGCTCAACGCGCTGGTGTCGGAGGCGTTTGTGCGCTTCTTCGCCGAGACGGTGGGACACTTTGCGCTGCACGTGCGCGCCGACGAGCGGGGCGCCCGCCGCCTGCACGCCGACGCCTTCCGCAAGGCGGTCGCCTCCAAGAGCGTCCGCCGCTTTCTCGAGGTCTTCATGCAGACGCAGATGTTCGCCGGCTTCGTGCAGGACCGCGAGCTGCGGCGCTGCCACCACGCCAGAGGTGAACTAAAGCCCCTGTCGACCGATTAAAAAAAAATATATGATTTTGCCGTGCAAGGCCCTCCAACCCCACCTACCAAGCTACGCGGCTGTTTCTCGCGAAGCGACGTGGCCCGCAACGAATGATAGCTCGACGAAAGCGGCTTATCGTCGTCGTCATCGTCGCGTGGAGATTGGTGGCAGCCGCAGCAGCAGCAGCAGCAGCAGCTGAATACTCGTAACGGTGGGCCAGGACCCGGGGGGCGGGCAACGCGGTTGGGGGGCGGAGGGGCGGTGACGCGGGGCGGGCGACACGGGGGGTGGGGGACGTTGTCGCGCCGTGCGGCTCGCCCCAGCGCCGTGACGTGCCGCGGTTTGCCGAACCCAAGTGCGGCGTCGCCCTTTACGCCGGCGGCGGCGCCGTCGCGGTCTGTCACGCTCGAGGGCTCCGCGCGACACGGCGTCGCCCCATGTCAAACACGAGTCCCGCCGGCTACCTCCACGCGGCTCACCAATGGCCGTGTCGGAGGGGCCGCCGCCGGGCCGGCTGCACCGCTGGGATCCCGGGCTCGAGGCCGAGTGTCAGCGGCACCGAGCACGGCGAGTGGCCGGTCACAGCTCCGTCACCGGTGACTTGTACAACAAACCCACAGACTCGCACAGAGACCCCTGGGCTTCGTATAAAGATCCATTCCAGACTCGCATGAACATACGATTGAACCGACGGCCCAGGCCTGTAAATTTCGATTTAAAGCTTTCGTGACTGCAGGGATTCATCTTCTTGGTTCTTTCGGTAAAGTCACGTAGAAGGGAAGTAATAAAATAATAAAAATAAAACATAATAAAACAATTCTCACGACGTTTCGGCCACAACGCAAGCAGCCGTCCTCAGGTGAAAACCAGGTCCGTCGAGGCGACAGAGTCTGAATGAAACAGCACACGAGCTTGGAGCATATATATAAGCTGAGCGCATTGACAAAGGAATTTGCATATCAAAAGGAATGTAGCATATTTATGGGAAATGCAGGAATGTGATTAGTCCTGCATATGCATGTGCATTATGCAGGATTAACAGCATCAAAGGGAGCTGCAGTTACTGCTGCTGCTGAAATTACTGCTGCTGCTGCAGTTTCTGCTGCTGCTGCAGTTGCTGCTGCTGCACTTGCTGCTGCTGCTGCACTTGCTGCTGCTGCAGTTACTGCCTTATCCATTTTAATATAACACTATGTATTATTCTACCCACCCTAATGTGTATCACACTGCTATATGTTTACTATACAATTACGACACCATACATTACTCTGCACACTGCACCATGCCAGTGAGTGGAACGCGGTCTGAAAGTCACCGTAAACGTGAACACAATCAGTTAAGATCCGAAATGGTTTATTACGTCCTTCCAATGATTGCTAAGCCAGAATCCATCTTCTCGGTTGAAATTGTCTCTGTGTTTGTATATGTGGATCGCCTCATGAACGAATCTCTCATGATAGCCAGATGGCTTGCAGAGAACCTCTGTCTTGGAGAAGTCAATGTAATGTGAGCCCACTGAATTGTAACAGTGATCTGCCACGGCTGAGGTGTTTGTCCTACCGTGTTTCAGGTCTGCCTTATGTTCACGGATGCGGTCCGAGACATGTCGTTTGGTTTCCCCAATGTAACTGCTACCACAGAGGAAACTTAGTTTGTAGACGCCAGGGTACTGTATGTCTGGAACCACATCTTTTACAGACGGGACCAGATCACGGATTTTATGTACTGTGTTGAATCGGACCTGGATCTTGTGTTTAATCAGGATTTTGGAGATCTTTTTTGTGACCCCAGCAATGTAGGGTAAGGTGATGGTCTTGAAAGGCTCCTGAACAGGATCCTTCTTGATGGTTGGAGTGATGGCTTTGCGGATTGTGTAGTCGGAGTAACCATTAGCCTTAAGAGCTTGGCGTACGTGTTTGAGTTCACTGGAAATGTGTTCATGGTCGGAGATGCATTGGGCTCTATGATATAGAGTCTTGATGAGGGAATTCTTCTGGGATGGATGGTGGTGGGAATCCGGTTTTAGATAAGCATCCGTGTGGGTGGCTTTCCTGTAGACAGAGTGGCTCATTGAACCATCAGGTCTCCTTTTGATTAGGACATCCAAAAAGGGTAGCTTGCCATCATTTTCGACTTCCATGGTGAATCTGATGGCTGGGTGTATGGAATTGATGTGGTCGAGAAATTGGTCTAGAGCAGGCCGGCCATGTGGCCAGATGACAAAAGTGTCGTCTACGTACCTCTTCCATAAGGTCGGGCGTAGAGTGGCAGTCTGGATGGCGTCCGTCTCAAATTTCTCCATGAAGATGTTGGCTACAACCGGAGATAGGGGGGAGCCCATTGGGGTGCCCTCAATTTGCTTGTAGAAGGTTCCATTCCAGGTGAAGTATGTATTGGTTAAGCAGTGTCTCACCAGGGGGGGTACCCCAGCATTCAGTCCTTGATGAACCAAGTCTTCAATGATTGCGATGGTGTCAGGCACAGGCACCTTGGTGAACAAGGAAACCACATCAAAACTGACAAGCAGGTCGTCTGGGGACAGGGCAATCCCCTTGATTGTCGATACCAGGTCAGTAGAATTTAGTACTGCAGAGGTGGTTTTTCCAGTGAAAGGCCGTAGGATTTCGGACAAAAAACGAGCCAGTTTGTAAGTGGGGGAGTTGATAGTAGAGACAATGGGACGAAGAGGGGTCTGTCGCTGCACCAAAAGGAAGAACGCACGACGATAACCCCGGTGTGCGTGGGCGACTTGCCACGACTGCTCCTCGACACGAGGTGGTTCACCGCTCACTGATGATGATGACGACGACGACGATGGTGATGATGATATTAATCGCGGTGTTTGTGGGCGACCCTCCAGGGCTGTTCGAGCTGCGGGCATCGCAGTTCCTGGACGAAGTTCCCAACGTGGAGCAGAGCGGAGTGAACCGCTTCCTCAAGGAGCTCGGTGAGCAGAGACACCGCCCCCGCTGCTTGTTGTCTTTCGTTTGTCGCCCCCCGCACCTCCGATTAGAACGGTTGGCTATGTACGGTGCGAAAGAAGTTCAACGTACACACGTACGTACAACCCCACGCTGGCGCCGGCGCGGGCGCGGCACCGGCCCCGCGCCGTAGCGCCGAGGACTGGCGGCAGCGCCGGCAGCAGCGGCAGCAGTAGCGGCAGCGCAACCCAGCGCACAGGGAGCGTTGCCTCAGCGGTGCAGGGTGGCGCCACCCCCTGGCACAGAGCGTAGATACCGCACGAAGCCGACGGGCAGATCGCCACGAATGCCGGAAAGCTAAGCAGAGTTAAGCCTGAATGATGGGATGGGATGGGACTGCCCGTGGACAACCCGGTGTTGTGGGCCAGGGGTGTTGTGGGCTGGGAGACGGGAGTGAGGGATGTGAATTGTTGATGTGTGCGTGCATGTCCGTGAGTGTGAATGAACGTTTTTGTTTACACTCGCGCCATTGCACGCCATTTGTCTCTCTTCCTCTGTGGCACTTGAGCCGGAGAAGTCTGTAATAAAAAATAAAAATTCGTACAATCTTTTTTCGCAAACATTAACATTATCTTACATAAGTTTTTTTTTTTACGATTATCTGTCAAACAACGGATGGACTCGAAACCTCTACGATTGATATTACAGATGGGATTAAGAGCGCAGGAAGGCTTGGCTTGTATAACATGTGGTGAATGAGACTAGGCGTCTACGCGCTAAATAGATAGGGAGACTGGGATTGCACTCGAACCAATACGATCAATCAGCTGTTGTTAAACCTCCAGCTCCAGCCCCGAGTCAACCCACTGCTGGATTGAGGCCTCCCCCACACCATGTCGCTCGTGATCATACTTCACCACGCTGGTCAACCTGAGCAGGGCACGATCGGGGGAATAGGGGAGGAACCGGTCCGGTTGAGATATCCCTCGCCGCTGCCGTTAGCCCAGGCGGGGAATCGAACCCGGGTCGCTGGGTTTATAGGTGTAGCGCGTTAACCGATGCTGCTCCACTGCCCCTAAACCTCTCAATGGGTGTTGCCTGCCGTGTGTTGCAGGGAGTCGCATGAAGTTCCTTTCCAAGAAGCAGTAGTCTCCTCCAGGACCAGCCGGCGCCAGGATGGGAGCAGCGCGGAGACACAGCTGTCCACCAGCGGCAGCCTGTCGCAGCAGCTACAGCTGCACCAGCTGCACCAGCTGCACCAGCTGCACCAGCTGCAGCCAGCACCCGGCAGCACCAGCAGCAGTAGCAGCAGAAGTACAGCAGCAGAAGCACAGCAGCACCAGCAGCACCAGCTGCACCAGCAGCAGAAGCACCAACTGCATCAGCAGCACCAGCTGCACCAGCTGCAGTAACATCAGCAAAAGCACCAGCTCCACCAGCTGCAGTAGCAGAAGCACCAACAGCACTAGCTGCATCAGCTGCAGTTGCAGAAGCACAAGCAGCACCAGCTGCATCAGCTGCAGTAGCAGCAAAAGCACCAGCAGCTCCAGCTGCACTAGCTGCAGTAGCAACAGAAGCACAGCAGCACCGGCTGGGCACCTTCAGCCAGGAGCTACCGGTGTGGACCAATCGGATCCCGCCTGCCGCTAGATTTCCTCACCGAGTGGTAAATAAACGCCGATGCCGACGACGCCACCTGTGGTGCAAGCGGCGCCACTCGCGGCCTGGGAGGAGAACGCACGGCGAGCGAGAGAGGTCGGCGCATTCGTTTGCGGCGAAGATTTTGCACGCGGATCCGTCCGCACTTGGGTTTTCGCGGTGGGCGCAACAACGGCGGACGTGAGACGTTCGAGCGGACGTTCAGTGGCGAGATGCTGCGATGCCGGCGGTGGGTGCTGGTGGTGGTGCGGGTGTCGCGGCGAGCCCACGCCCTGCGGCGATTCCCGTACGGCACAGAACCACGGCGCGCGGTTCCTTGGCCGCCCGAAAAACGAGCAGCTCTTATCTTGTAGTGACGTCACACCCAGGGTGTCACACCCAGCAGGGTGTGACGTCCCGCGCTTTTGTTCAACGCGAGCGGGAAAATTCATTAATGAGGGGGGGGGGGGGGGTTGGGCGGGGGGGTGAAAGACAAGACTTTAAAGTGACGGGCCGGTGCTCTCGAGTGACTCCGTAGCGCAGCAAATGGCTCGAGCTTCTAGAGACTTCCAGCTCCGCCCTGCAGGGCCCAAGTGGGAGCAACGATGATGATGAGGAGTTGAAGTTTGAAGAGGAGGGAGGAGGGGGAGGGAGGGAGGAGGAGGAGAGGTTCGGCCAAGCAGCAGTCGGATGACAGTGAGCGTGGCCACGTCTGGGACGGGGTGATTACGCCAGACATTGCGCACATCGACCGCCGACGGCCGCAAGAGGTGCGGAGGGTTTGCGGCTCGTGTCGGTGGCTCGCTGCGCCGGGTACGCCGGACTCGCTACGATTATCGCCACGCACGCGACGCCCCCGCTGACCGAGATGATGTCGAGAGCTTCACAGCCGACACGGGAACGGTAAAGGTGCAGCCGCACAACCGCTTGCTCGCGGCACCGACGGATGAAAAGCCCCGACTAGAGGAGAGCTCTCTCTCTCTCGAGGTGGTTTAGTTTGCTTTTGTATCTCACTCCTCTACGCTGTCCCAGACGTCTTGACAAGAGGATGACGTGGCCCCACACTTGACCCCACCGCACGTGACGGTGCCTGGTGGACTCGGTTTGTGCCGTCGCCGTTTGCAATCACTGGGTGGACACAGGCGGGGTGGCATCGGGGGGACCGCGCGCACCGATCTTTCACCCGCCGTGCCGGGACAACAAATGGAGCCCGACGACATTCCGGTGCGTCGCCAAAAACGCATCCTGACCCCCACTACTCCGACCCACGAGGACTTCGAAGGCTGCTGCTTTTTCCGGGGCAAGTAAAGCGACACCACGAGACACCTCCCTGCGCTGTGTCCTCGAGGAGACCATCACCTCGGAACCACAGCGACAAGGACCACGGCAACGGGAACCATGGAGACGGGAACCATGGCAACGGGAACCACGGAGACGGGAACCACGGAGACGGGAACCAGAGACGGGAACCACTGCAAGCCTTACTGCGGGTCGGGTGTTCAATGCAAAACGCGAAGCGTCAGGGGCACGCGAACAAAGAGACAATTTTTGCAACTCTTATTTTCGAGAGTCTGGCGGCAAACCGCAGCAGATTCGGGGAGCCATCGCCTCTGTCCCCGACCCTGACGAGGTACTCGCGACCGGGAGATGGTGCGTTCTCTCTGTCTCACTCTCTGTCTCGCTCTCTCGGCTCTCGCTGTCTCTGTCTCGCGCCGTCACTTGCCGCCCGCGGCAACCGCTGCCGGGGAGGCGCCGCCGCTACGGGGAGGAGCGCCGCGCGATTCCGGGATCCGTTCCGCCTCGGGAGGTGGCGATGCCTCGCAGCGTCCGAGATGCCCGTTTAGTGACGGCCGCGTTTGTCTCTCCTCTTCTTCCATTGCTCGATCGCGCCTGTAAATGGCTTCTCGTTTAGAAGACGCTCTCCTGTAAATGCGTTCCCCGTGATGGCGTTTGTCCTGCATCTTCATAAGCAAAACAAAATGTTCCGGTGCCGCCTCACAGTATATGTATTATTATTCACCCCTCCACCCCGTTTTTATACAAGTGTAACAAATCTAACGGCTTTAAGAAAAACAGTGTAAAATAAATCGAAAGGATAGATTCAAACGAGAGTGGAGGAGAGCGTCTGTGTTTCCTGCTCCATGAGCAGTGCGGGCGGGTTTTGTCTATCGAGCAACCACTGGGTTGACTGCCCCCAACAAAGCTGTTCTCATTTTATCGGCCCCAGAAGAATGATGGACTCGATCAGCTCCCAACCCAAGGATATGAACACCGCAGGCGTGCTGCTCACGCACAGCAAGAGGACGCCACTCCCATCATGCATTGCACGCACGTCACCTGCCTCCTAATTGGCAAGGCGAGGTTGTGTGGCAGCTTTACCTCGACGTTCACACGGTGCGGTTGGCAACGTTGGCTCCACGTCCACGTGCGTGTGGACATGGAGAGCGCTAAGCCAATCGGTAGCTCTGGGGGGTGGGTGTGTGGGGAAGATCCGACCGTGTGGTGGCGTCGTTGCGTCCACGCATCCGTCCGGTTGTTAGCGAGCGGCACGCCACCCTTGGCGCGTCGTTCGAGCCGATCGCCGCCTCCAGCCTGCACGCCGCTGCACTCACGATCTACGGCAAAGTAGCGGGGCTCGAGTTCACTTTAATCCTCCCCATGGAGGTGGACGATTGCGCCAATGCGTGCGTGTGCGTGTGCGCGCCGGGAGTCGGGAGATGCTCTCCCACCACGACCGCCCCTATTTGACCATTCTCGAGCTCGAGATGAAACTGGCAAACACCGCCCGTGTCTCCGCACGTACCCAGCCGCACACTCGCACCACGAGGCTCCAACGTCGAGGCTCTACTCGTTAAATGTAATTAAATTTAATTATCATAGAAATGTAATAATCATCAATGTCATCAACACAGAGACAAAGATCCCCCCCCCGTATAATCTTACAGACTGTGAGGGCAAGTGTTTGTTTGCGAGTGCCTGCTAATGCTGGCACGGCACGTGCCGGGGTGGGCGTGGGCCAGCACCACGCCCGGCCGCCTTTGTCTCCCTAGCGCTGATGTTAATACACCAGAGCAGGTACTCATTTAAGGCTTAAGTCGACCTAGGGGAGGCCCAGGAATTAAGATATCACTCGCCTCTGATGTTTGCCGTGGTCGGGAATCAAACCAAAGTTGTCAGGATCGTAGCGCATGGCACTAACCAATGTACCGCCACTCCCCCACCACGGCCTGTGCAACAAAGATCCCCCATATAGCCTTCACAGACTTTTGCGGCAAGTGCTGTTAGCAAGCACGGCACACGAGGGGGTGGGTGGCCAGCACCACGCCCGGCCGCCTTCGTCTCCCCAGTGGCGATGTTTACACACCGCACCAGGTACTCATTTGAAGCTGAGTCGACCTAAGGGAGGCCTAGGAGCGGTTGAGATAAGCGTCACAAACATAAATACGCGACTTTCACGCACACCCATGAACCAGTGGCATAGCTATCGAGTGTGTAGGCGGTGCAACTGCACCAGGGCCCACGGGCCAGCGGCGTGCCCAGGTTCCAGGTCACACATTTTTCGGGTGGGGGGAAGGGGAGAATTGGTGGTGCCCTGTGCCAGCCTCTCCCGCCCCAGCCTCTCCCGCCCCAGCCTCTCCCGCCAGAGCCTCTCCCGCCAGAGCCTCTCCCGCCCCAGCCTCTCCCGCCCCATCCTCTCCCGCCCCAGCCTCTCCCGCCCCATCCTCTCCCGCCCCATCCTCTCCCGCACCGGCCTCTCCCGCCCCAACCTCTCCCGCCCCAACCTCTCCCGCCCCGGCCTCTCCCGCACCGGCCTCTCCCGCACCAGCCTCTCCCGCCCCAACCTCTCCCGCCCCAGCCTCTCCCGCCCCAACCTCTCCCGCACCAGCCTCTCCCGCCCCAGACTCTCCCGCCCCGGCCTCTCCCGCCCCAACCTCTCCCGCACCAGCCTCTCCCGCCCCAGCCTCTCCCGCACCGGCCTCTCCCGCCCCACCCTCTCCCGCCCCAACCTCTCCCGCCCCAGCCTCTCCCGCCCCAACCTCTCCCGCACCAGCCTCTCCCGCCCCAGACTCTCCCGCACCGGCCTCTCCCGCCCCAGCCTCTCCCGCCCCAACCTCTCCCGCCCCAGCCTCTCCCGCCCCAACCTCTCCCGCACCAGCCTCTCCCGCCCCAGCCTCTCCCGCCCCAACCTCTCCCGCCCCAACCTCTCCCGCCCCAGACTCTCCCGCCCCAGACTCTCCCGCCCCAGCCTCTCCCGCCCCAGCCTCTCCCGCCCCAGCCTCTCCCGCCCCAGCCTCTCCCGCCCCAGCCTCTCCCGCCCCAGACTCTCCCGCCCCAGCCTCTCCCGCCCCAGCCTCGCCCGCCCCAGCCTCTCCCGCCAGAGCCTCTCCCGCCCCAGCCTCGCCCGCCCCAGCCTCTCCCGCCCCAGCCTCTCCCGCCCCAGCCTCGCCCGCCCCAGCCTCTCCCGCCCCAGCCTCTCCCGCCCCAGCCTCTCCCGCCCCAGCCTCGCCCGCCCCAACCTCGCCCGCCCCAGCCTCTCCCGCCCCAGCCTCTCCCGCCCCAGCCTCTCCCGCCCCAGCCTCTCCCGCCCCAGCCTCTCCCGCCCCAGCCTCTCCCGCCAGAGCCTCTCCCGCCCCACTGCGACGAGCCCGGATTTGGCGATCGCGACGTCGCGACCTGCGCGGCCGTCAGCCCCCGTGGCGGCCGTGCGGAGCGGCCCCGTTGCGGTGCCACATGCCGCGGTGCGAGTGGTGGTGGTGGTAGAAGTTGCGCAATCGCAGGCGCTCCACCTCCAGGCCGGCGGACAGCACCCTGCGGGGAGAGGGCGGCGCCGCACGCAAAGACAAAGCTCCCCCGTGTAGCCTCTACAGACTGTTGGGGCAAGTGCTTTTCGCGAGCATCTACGAAGGGCCGGCACGGCACACGAGGGGATGGGTGGCCAGCTCCACGCCCGGCCGCCTTTGTCTCCCCATTGGCGATGTTTACACACTGCATCAGGTACTTATTTGAGGCTTAGTCAACCTAGGGAAGGCTCAGGACCGGTGCAGACAACCGTCACTCATGTGGTGGCCGTGAGCGGGAATGAAACTCGCCGGTTTGTAGCGCAGCGCGCTAACCACTACATCAGCGCTCCCCACACATACGCACGTACACACGTACACACGTACACACGTACGCACGTACACACATACACACGTACACACGTACACACGTACACACGTAAACACGCACACACATACACACGTACGCACGTACGCACGTACACACGTACACACGTACGCACGTACGCACATACACACGTACACACGTACACACGTACACACGTAAACACGCACACACATACGCACGTACGCACGTACGCACGTACACACGTACACACGTACACACGTACACACTCACACTCGTAAACACAAAGACCCACCCCCCAAATATCCTAACAAGACTTTTGGGTACGCAAATAATTTTGTCGTGCAGACCCTCCACCACCTGACGTAACCCAAATTAATCATTTGTCATGCGTACGAGGATGTAACGCACCAAGACGTTTAATTTTGTGTCCAATTTAATTTTTTTCGAAAGTAGGTGAAATAATATTTACTTATTTCTTTATTTTAACAACCCCCATCACTGTCCCACGGAGTGTCCACCACTCACCGGTCCAGCAGCTCCCAGTCCTCCCCGCCCCAGCGGTCCCGGAACTCCTGGGTGTTCATCCCCCCGACGCGGTCAAAGTCCGACTTGTAGATCCCGAGAAGGCCAAAGCCGTTCACCTCCCAGTAGCCTGAGACGGGAACAGAGGGACAGAACGGAGGAGACGGAATGGAGGAGACGGAATGGAGGAGACGGAACGGAGGAGACGGAACGGGCGAGATTGATACGACGATACGACGAGACGGAACAAACGAGAGGGGGAACATACAAGATGCAACGAACGAGATTGAACATATGCAATGGAATGAAACGGAACAAGTGAGATGGAACAAGTGAGGCAAACTGTATAAATGATTCTGGCTCCTTGATCGTGGATGAAAGAGGCATTCATGTCCAGGAATCTCGGGGTCTCTCAATCTATGGATCTTGGAGTCTCTGGGTCTCAGGGTCTTTGGATGTCCAGATCACAGAATCTTGGGGCTTAAGGCCTCAAGATGTCAGGTCTAAGGGTTCAGGGGACTCCGTTTATTAGCAACTCGGTGTCTCAGTTGTGGGATCCAGGCATCTGGTGAGTGTCAAGACCTTTAGGGGTCCAGGAGTGTTTGGGAGTCTCGGGGACTGTGGGTCTTCTGGGTTCATGGGGCTCAGGTTATTGGGGTCTCTGGGTCTCAATGCCTTAGAATCTCAGTCCATAGGTTCTCTAAAGAGTTTCATGGTTCAGGGTTTCAAGAGTCTCTAAGACTAAACTAGAACTAAACCATTTTTTTATTTCACCAGGTCAGGCCCACTGAGCTATATAGCTATTTTCAGAAGCGACTTGGACACAAATGATAGCTCAACAAAGTAGCTGTCACGTGGCAATTTATAGCAGCCAAATACTCTAAAAGCGCGACGTTGATTCTAAATGTGGAGAGAAAAACCGGAGGACCTGGAGAAAAATCCACGCGACTTGGGAAAAGACAGATAACACGCGAACTCCAAGCAAGCGTCGGGATCGAACCCACGACCTCCTACATACCAGGCGAGGTAGTTAACAGCTCTGAGAGTCAGAGGGTCTCGGTGTGGATGGGGCCGCCCCTCACCGTCGGGCTCCGTGGGAAGGCTGCCGCAGCTGAGCCGCATGAGCATGGGGGCGAAGGTCATGCGGCCCTCCACGCAGTGCCTCCTCACTGCGTCCACCACTCCCCACGGGAAGTGCAGGTGGAGGTCGCACAGGAACACCACGCTGTGGGCATCCTGGCGGCCACACGGGGACGGTGAGACAGGACAGGGAGACGGGGCCGGTGAGACGAGACAGGGAGACGGGACGGGGAGACGGGATGGGATGATGTGGGACGGAGGACGTGGGACGGGATGGGACAGGATGCGATAAGATTAAGTGGGACGGAACAAGCTGGGATGGGATAAGATGGGATTAAAACGAGACTGGTTGGGATGAGATGAGATGGGACAAGATAGGATGGGATGAGATGGGATAGGACGCGATAGGATAGTGATAAAAGATGGCAACGATAGTTATTTGGATTTTTTTACGTGCATGTTTTCGTTCAAAGAGAACGATTCAGAGGAGTGATAAACCACAGAGAAGCAGGAAGGCAGCCAGAATGGGCGCCATCAATTGTCCAAGCCCTGTGGCCCCATCGTGGGATGTTTGGCCAACTCCATTAAGGAGAAGGGGTGCGATGGCGGGATGCAGTGAATCACATTTTGAGACGTAAGGATTGTCTCCGCCAGCGATCGCTGCTGCCGTGGTTTGCGATCCAGTGATATTTATACAGGCCTTGGGCCAAATCGCCCACGGTGACCCTGATCTCGTACGACTCGGAAGCTATAATTGTAAATGTTTTTGGATTTCCTCTCCAACACACCGGTGGGCTGAAGTAATAACCAATTGGCGCGTTGTTTACGTGAAAAACCTTACTGGCTGTGTCGGGTGGTGGAGGGGTACGACACAACATTTATACTTACGCGATCTAACCCAAAAAAACATTTTATCAAAACATCCCCGCATATGTATGTTGAACTTCGCCTCTTGGCATTCTCTGGTGAAACTAGGCCCTAAAGAAGGCCGACTCTTTAGGGCCTAGTCAGATACAAATCTCGTTGCGTGAACGTTGTCAGAGATACAAATATCGTGGCGTGAACGTTGAGTCAGGGATAAAAATCTCGTGGCGTGAATGTTGAGTCAGAGATAGAAATCTCGTGGCGTGAATGGTGAGTCAGAGATAGAAATCTCGTGGCGTGAATGGTGAGTCAGAGATAGAAATCTCGTGGCGTGGATGTTGAGTCAGGGACAGAAATCTCGTGGCGTGGATGGTGAGTCAGAGATAGAAATCTCGTGGCGTGGATGTTGAGTCAGGGATAGAAATCTCGTGGCGTGAATGTTGAGTCAGAGATAGAAATCTCGTGACGATTGCGCCCCCTCTTGGCTTCACCGGACACTCCAGTTTGTCTACCGCTGCCCCCCCACCCAACTTCCCATCGTGGCCCTGACGAGGAAGTCAACACAACTGGAGACATTCCCCCACCCCCTTACAATCCCCTCTTGTCAATCCACTGCTGGATGGATGATGAGGGCCTCCCCACGTCGTGCACATCATGGGTGGGGGGGGGATGGATTGGGGGGGGTCAACTGACCATACTTCACCACACTGGTCAGTGCGGGTATACAATGTACAAAGGTGGAGATTTACATTTTTATTTTATTTTGCTCGCACGCCACTACAACCGGGAGCCCATTAACATTTCTACTTTGGCCGAATCTGTGCGCTTCACGCCAAAGTGGTTATCATCGCTCATAGCTGCGGTAGCTGCCTGTCCGTCGCTAGAAACGGGGGGAGGGGAGGGGGGTCTGTGCGGGGGGCTGGGCAGGCGGGAGGTATCGAAGCCGTTCATCTCGAGTCTATTCCGGAGGTACTCGCTCGGCACACCGAACACCCGGACCGACCCACGTCGCGATCCACCTCGACGGCTTCTCCCCGCGAGGTGGAACTCTCCGGGCACTTTGCTGGCCAGCGCCGGTCGCGTGAACTCACCTTGACGAGGTCGGCCCCGGCCTGCAGAGCGGCCGACCGCTCGAAGTTCCCTTGTAGCCTCACGTACTGATGACTGCGAGCACGCACACAAAGACAGAGACAAAGATCCCCCGTGTAGCAGGGACAAGCATTCGGGGCAAGTGCCGTTAGCGAGCGAAGCCGGTGCCGTCCACCTACGACGAGGAGGTGGTGTGGCCAGCGCCACTCGCGCCCGGCCGCCTTCATATCCCCAGTGCCGATGTTTAATGCACACGGCACAGGGTACTCATTTAAGGCTGAGTCTACCTAGGGGAGGCCCGTGACCGGCTTGTGCCGTAAGTGGGAATGGTGCGCCGGTCGCCGAGTTCATAGCGCAGCGCGCCGACTCCTCCTGGGGACGCGAGCACACACGAGGTCCGCTGTGCAGCACGTGGCAGGGTTCAAGTCCCGGGGTTCCAGCCCCGTGCTGATCAGGCCGGGGTGTAAGTGTACCCAGTTGAAGGTCTCAGCCCCGTCACCAACGACCGCACAGAAGAACTCCATGACATTTAAGGGTTTTTTTTAGCAAAAACAACTTAGTTTGGTTGCCGCACGCGGTGGGTGGCAAAGTGCTGCCCCCCTCGGTGTGGGCCCGGAGCGTCACTTGAAGAGATCTCAGAAGTGGCTCTGTGATAGCCACTTCTGTGGGCCGTTACCGTCCGACCGAGACCGACGGGCGAGCAGAGCCAAAGCGACGCGTCAAGCTAGCTTCGCGTCGGGTTAGGACCCGTGTCTAACAGAGAGGGACTAGGACCCCTTGTACCACAGAGAGAGTCCTCGCCTAGAACTATCTGGCAGTTCGGCAGCATTGCCACACGCAAGCCTGACTCTGCTGATGAGGCACTGAACGTTGAAACCGGTCAAGAGTTTTGATTCGCGCTGAACCAACGCCGCTGCTGGGATGTGTGAAACTGACGTTGATACTTCACGTGGAGAGACGGATACCAGAATGAGGTGGGGGTGGATATATTGCTTGGTTATTTTTTGTTAAATTTTTTTTTTTAAACTACATTGTCCACAACGGCGCTCGCGACGATTGTGGGCACTGCCTGGACGAGGGGCGGTGATGAGGGGGGTTAAGGGTCAGGATGAAGGGAGACCTGGGCAGGGAGCTCGCTCTCAGGGCTTTCTCGATGTCCATGTCGCTGCTGTCGTAGTCGGCGATGACCAGCGAGAAGCGCCGATCACCGGTCACCCTGGACAGTTGCTCGAGGTCCCAGATGATCTGGCGCACCCAGCGGGCCTGGTTCTTCACTGCTCGGGGTGGGGGGGCACACACAAACGCAGGAGGAGGAGCACACGCGCACGCCACTAGCACGGACGGGAGGATCTCCCCCCTCGGAGGGACACTCCCCAGGACGGATATCCCCCCCTCGCCTACCCCGGCAAACCTCCTTTTGTTGATAGATGAATAAGAAGCATAAACACGTGACCGACGCGTCGATGGATTGCGTCACGGAAACGCGGGCCAGGGCACGTGCCGCACGGCAACTTGTACGAGCGACATCGTTCCGTGTCCGTGTGCTCAAAGTGTCATCGTCGTCGTGGTCATCGGACGTGATCAATTTAGTGCCGGGTGAAGGCCTCCCCACGCCGTGCCGGTTACGGGTCTCGCTTCATATCACCATACTTCCCCGTGCAGGTTAGTGCGGGCTCGGGAAGTGTGGAGCGGCCCAGGGACCGGTTCGGATAGCACTCGCCGCTGATGTTGGCCATCGCCGGGAAGTCAAATCGAGTTCGCCGAGTTCGCAGCGCGATACGCTAAACACCGCCCCACCATTCTCCCCCGCAAGACAACACCAGTTCACCCACACACACATCGTTCCGTGCGTGTCTCCTGACACCCACATTCGTCCACCTCTGCACTCACTCTGGCCTCCTACCTCTTATCATCATCAACAACAATAACATCATCATTATTTTATAATTCTGTTCATTTACCCAGGAGAGCGTCGTTGAGCACGATTTACGCAATGGGTGGGGGGGGGGGCGATGTTGCCACGCGGTGTCCCGCTCTGTACCTGGCACAATGAAGTGGACCATCACGTTGGGCCTCCACGAGAAGCCCTGGGGCCTGCACAGGTGGAAGGCCCTCGCCCTGGAGGCCGGCACGGGCAGCACCACGTCGCTGCTCGTGTCCACGCCGTCCTCGTCCTCCTCGTCGTATCCGCCGTCGTTGGCGGCGTCATCGTCGTCGTCATCGCGGGCGGCGCCTTCGTAAACCTCCGCGCCGCCGCCGAGTCGCCCGTCGGCGCGGTAGTCCTCCTCCTCATCGTCCTCCTCGTCGTCGTCCTCGTCATCCTCGCCGTCGACGTGACCGCCTCTGCCGCGACGGCGGAGGGGACCTTGGGCCCACGTGGCGTACACGTACTGCGAGAGGCGCGCCACGGGGGCCTCGCTGGAGCCGGCCTCGACCCCGACCCCGACCTTGACCTCCACCTCCAGCTCCAGGAGGTAGCGGCCGCCCCTGGCGCCGTCGCGCCGCTTCTCCACGGCCACGGCCCGGCGCAGACGCAGCGCGCTGCGCGGCGACCCGGGGCCGGGGACGATGCACGCAGGCGGCGTTAGAACGGAACGCGACAGGGGCGGGGAAACGGGGGGAGTGGGGGTCACAGCAGAGCACGCCCCCCCTACCGTGCCGAGGAGTGATCGGCAAATCACTCAATCGGGAGTGCACGGAGCAGCGGCATCGTTCCCTCTTAACAGGAGAGCGACATCACAGGTGACGCTGTGGGCCATGGACCCTTCGTCGTGGCGCGTGACGATGGGGATTCGTGCGTCTGGCCACGTGCGGTGCGACACGCAGCGCGGCGTGCAGTGCAGCGTGCGTGCTCGCCTGGCAAACGAAACCAAGGGTACGGGAATCACTCGACACGTGCCTCGCCGTGCAGCGGGGACCCCTCGTGGGAATCGGCCTCGAGACTCGACGAGGCTCTCCTCGGTTTGATAAGCGAAGAGATAAAGCGACTCGGAGGTGCGCATCGTCCACTGCCGTGCGTGAGGGTAGCCCGTCATCAGCGCTACCCGGGGTCGAGTCTGCGGCCACGCTTGATCTGGATGAGGCGTCTCTGATGCAAGGTGGAGGAGCTCAGTTGTCTATTGATTTGCATGTGAATAGCACGAGTCTGCGTACCGCCCCTCACCAGCAATCATTCCCTACGACTGCTGCTCACCACAACTCACCACTCCTCACCACCGCTTACTCCCACTCGCCACTCCTTACCACCGCCACTCACCACCACCCATCAATCCTCACCGCCACCGCTCACCACCGCTACTGCTCCTCACCACCACCACCACCGCTCACCACCGCCACCGCTCACCACCGCTCACCACCGCCACCGCTCACCACCGCCACCGCCACCACTCATCACCACCACCGCCACCACCACTCATCACCACCACCACCACTCCTCACCACCACTCCTCACCACCACCGCCACCACTCACCACCACCACTCCTCACCACCACCACTCACCACCACCACTCCTCACCACCACCGCTCACCGCTCCTCACCGCCGCTCCTCACCGCTGGCCTCCGCGGGCGTTGAGCAGCTGCACGAATCTGCGCGCCACCGCCAGCGCCTCGCGCGCCGGCGCCAGCGCGTTGCCGGCCACGTTGCACCGCAGGTCGATGCGGTCCGACCTCGCGCGCTCCACGTCCACGCGGCCCCGCGCGGCGAACGTGCGGCCCCAGTCCAGCGCCGCCTCCCCGCGGCCCGGCCTCTCGGAGGGCCCCGCGGACGAGGGCCCGGGCCCCCCGCGTCCCGGACCCGGGCCCCGGCTCGCGGCAGCCGTCACCGCCGGGGCGCGGGAGGGCGGCGGGGGTTCGATCAGGGAGCGCGCGGCCCCTCCCCCCGCCCGGAGGCCGCCGCCACCGCCGTCGAGGAGGAGCGAAGTCCCGGTTCGTGTCCCGGTTCGGTCGAGGTCGCCCCGACGCGCCGAGATGTTTGGCTCGGGGCCGAAGCCCTCGAGGACGAGGAGGGAGCGGCTCTCGCGGGAGTCGCGGCCGGACCGCCGGAGCCAGCCGCGAGTGTCCCCCGCCTCGGGGTCGGGGTTCGAGTCGCGGCGAGGTCGCCGCGTCGCTCCGCCGGCAGACGCCGACTCCTCGTCGCGCCGGACGCCGCCAACGCCGCCGTTCGTCCCGGGCGCCCCCGGAGAGACGGAGGCCCGCGGCCCTTGCGCCCCGCAGCCACGTGGAGGCCGCGACTCTGAGGGCCTCGCGCCGGCCGTGGGTGCCTCCTGGGCTCGGCTACCCGTCTGTGCGGCCCGCGCGGAGCGGTCCCAACTTGCGGGGCCGTCGCAGCCACGATCGCCCCCCGCCACCGCTGTCGTCCTCCCCGTGACCCTCCCCGTGACCCCCTCCGTGACCCTCCCCGTGACCCTCCCCGTGACCGCTCGTCTCTCCGCGTCTGCGGTTCGCGACGGGGAACAGGAGCGGTGGCGCAGCGGTTAGCGCACTGCGTAATGAAGCCAGTGGTGTTCCAGGTTTGATTGCCGGGCACGGCCAACATCAGTGGCGAGCGATATCTGAACTGCTCCTGGGTTCTTTCTCTCTTCCTCCCACCACCTCCAGTTCATCAACTCACACTGACCAGCGTGGTGAAGTATGGTCAGATAGCGCACATGATACAAGGTGTGGGGAGGCCTTCATCCAGCAGTGGATAGGTCATGGATCCTGATAATAATAATAGCAAAATCGATCATCGGACTCCTTCATGTATCCGTCTCTCCACAAAACAAACAAAACTCGAGACCGGTTTCGACATTCAGCGTCTCATCAGCTGGGTCGAGGCTCGCTTCAATGGCATCGACGCTGCCGAGTCCGTGCGCTAGCCTCCCACCGAGGACAGCAGGGGGCGACTCGGGCGCGCTCGGCCAACGCGTCTCCTGGGTAACGGCAAGCGGTAGGAATTCCACATTGCTATGGTGGGGGCGAGGCCATCCGTTACAGGACAACCACGCACGACGTCCCACAAAGTGGTGCTCGTTTTATCGACGTCAAAGGGGTGGTGATGATGGTTATGATGGTGATGGTGGTGCCGAGCGGACCTCCGACCAGGATCTGAACTCGTGATCTTATTGGCTACACCGGGGTTTCTACATTTTGTGATAACCAACTATCAGGTATGTGTAGCGTTGTGCGTCGGCTTATTTTAATATGGATATAAACTCTTGGAGTGATCGTCTATAAAGCTGGACCGGTCATACAAATAACAGTGGACAAACATATACATTGCGATAACATGAAACATGCATGGTCTGTCTCAAATGGAGGGCAAGTTCTGGGCAGACTGGGGGAGAGAGGGGGCATCGAGACAAAGGGGGAGACAATATGTAGACAGACCGAAAGATGCAGAGAGACACTTGACATGAGACAGAGACAGGCAAGAGAGACAGAGATGCGTGGATAAACAGGGTTGAGCTTGGGCACTGGTTTGATTGCCCAGGATGCACGGCAAGTTGCTGTACGCTGCAGCGTGGTAGGACCCAGAGAGCAGTCTTCACCAACCTGCACGGATCATTGTGGTCAAGTCTGGTCACGTAACCCCCACCCCGCGACCCACAGGGCACGGGGAGGCCCTCATCCAGCAGCGCCAGCACAGGTGGTGGCCTGAAATTTCTGGATGTCAAGGTACTCGTTTAAGGCCGAGTTGACCTCGTGGAGGGCCAGGACTGGTGCAGGTAATCGTCAGACACTGGGCATCAACGGCACGCTGTGGGCTCGGCTATACTCGGCGCCGATGTCACGGCGAGAATCCAGTTCATGCCACCAAGGAGCTCCAAGACGCATCAGCCGCACGCGTTGAACTCCTTCCACTGTACCTCTCGGACATGGGCCACTCTGCGCTGACATCGTCGTCGTCGTCATAACCCCCGCTCATAAATCCCGATAATGCTCATTAACTAATTGTACAAAATCAATAAGCGGCAGGCCCCAGAATCTTAGCAGCGGTCGCCAGGTCTAATTGTGAAAGAGATGGTGAATCTTGATGCCATCAAAGCCTGCACATTCTCGATTATGGTGGCTACGCTGCTGCACGCGGGCTGTGTTCACTCACTGCGGCGAGGGTTGGTGGATCACCGCACGAACGTGCGCCGCGCCCTGGCTCGCTCGGAGTCGGCGGTATAGCAAAGTGCGGACGAGCACCGTCTGTCCCTTCCGTGTGAGATCGAGTGCTGCCCCCTCGCACGCGTGGGTTGTCACCGGGTGCTCCCCGGTTTGCTCCCCGCATTCGTTTGTTGATACTATCCCAATACGTAGGGGATCGCAGAGCTTGGGCAATCGTCGATAACGCCGGCTCGCCACAGCCTGGCTGCTGCTGCCGCCGTCCAGCTTGTGTCTGTGGATCCTCGGCGATTAGTGAGATTGTGGGAGATGCACTTTTGTACGCTGCGGCGGCGTATACAAGTGAACGGCGTTATTATTGTTATCATCATCGATATTGTTATCCTGCAAGGTGTCCGTCCACCTGCTCTGCACACGGGCCGATTGTGTCGCTACCGACCTCCTGTCTCACGCGATCCATTCCCTCGGCTGGCACTCCGCGATTGTGCGGGTCTCAGGGTAGCCCTCGAACAAAGACGTTCAGACGCGCGCGATGTGGCCGTCTGGAACGGTCTTCTTTCCGTTATAGAGAAGCCACTTGAGCTATGCACTTTTAAATCGTCTATATTGAAAACTCACTTGTTCATAAATGATTTGTGTTTCGTAGTTTGTTGTCCTTCCCCCGCAAGGGTTGGCTACGTACGGTGCGAAAGAAGTTCACCGCACATACAACACGCACAAGAAGGAATGATGTCCGCGGCGTTGTTCTCGTTTGGTTATTGTTTACCTGGGGGTCGTGGCATTTGAGTGGATGCGTTCTCCTGCCCTCCGGCCTCGGCAGCGTCCACCTTCATGTAGCGGCTAAAGTCCACCCTTGTAGGGCGGGAGAGGAGGGGTAGTTCGGAAAAGAGGAAAGCATTGGCATTGGTAATTAAAGTTTTTTTTGGTTAGATCGCGTAAATATAAATGTGTTGTTAACCCGCCACCAACACCACTCGACACAGCCAATTAGTAAGATGTGTCGTGAAAACAAAGTGTGCCCAATTAGTTACTACTTGAGCATATACCGGTGGGGTGGAGAGCAAACACGCAACATTTACAATTTGATTACAACGTTTCGCTGGTGATTACAGCAACCAGCTTCCCCTGGCGATTCGCCACATTTTTTGTTTACGCGACAAACTTTACTAATTGGCTGTGTCAGGTGGTGGTGGTGGTGGTGTTGTGTTCACGACACGTTTAGTGATTTGAATAATAGAGTCGGTTCAAATGAGGGTCAGGGGATGGGCAGAATGGAATCGCGGTTTGACTCCGGCGGGCCGCCCCGGTCATAACCGCGGTGTGGATGCATTAACCGTAACGCATCACTGCGCGCCATCTGCTCCGCTCGCAGTGGTGGACGTTAAAGATCCCCGTGACGTCGCTAGGAACGAGCAGGGCGTTGCGTGCCGCCGATGGTGCACACACGCGCAGCAGCAGCAGTCACCCACACATCGCCCCCTTCTGTGAAAACTACTGCGGGCTGTGCGGGGGAGACGTAGCGCCTCGTCTTCGTGATGATAGCCGTGCGCTAGAAGTATCAAATATATTAAATTACTGTTGTTGTTATGATGACTGTCATAGCTGTCATGTGATGATTCACATCCCCCCCACTTCCCCTTTGACCATGATTTGGGGTCAAGAATCGATTCAAGAATATAATTCAATAATCGATTGTTTTTTATTGAACTCCTCTCCATAGTCTGCCTCGTTAGTTCTCGCTCATGAGTTCCGGAAGCCTCAAGTCCACCTTGAAATATAATTTGCATCGATCGGAAACGATCGATTAAAACCCACGTCGATTATCTTACCCCGCCAACCGCAAGCGCTCACCCAATCGCCAGCAGAGGCAACCATCTCACGTGCTTCATAGACTGTTAGCGAGCACCTATTAAGGGCAGCCCTAGCACACGACTGGGGTAGTAGCAGCGGGCAGGTGTTGACACGCGGTGCTTTACGCACGGCGTCAGGTGCTGTTTTCAGGCCGAAGGGACCTAAGAGTCGCCACCAATGTCAGACGCGGCTGGGAAGTGAAGTCAGGATGCTGGGTTTAGATTGCAAGGTCGCTAACCACCGCGCCGCACTCCAATTACATGGACACAGATCCGCCCCCCCCCCCCCCCCCGCATTGCTTTTAACAGGCTGTTGGGGCAAGTGCGGTGAGAGAGCACCTACGACCTATGAAGGCCGGCACGGAACACAATTGGGTAGGTGGCCAGCACCACGCCTGGCCGCCTTTGTCTCCCACAGTGCTGAAGTTTACACACCACACCGGGCACTCAATTGAGGCCGAATCGACCTAGGGGAGAGGCCCAGGACCGGTTCAGTTAATCGTCACCGTTGTTGGTGGCCGTGAGCGGAAATCGAACTCGGGTCGCCGGATTCACAACACTACCGCTCCCCACGCACACACACAACAGACAAAGATCTCCCGTATAGCCTGAACAGACTGTCAGAGCAAGTGCTGTTAGCGAGCACCTATGCAGGCCGGCATGGCACACGAAGGGGTGGGTGGCCTGCACCGCGTCCGGCCGCCTTTGTCTCCCTAGTGGCGATGTTTACACACCACACCCGGTACTCGATTTGAGGCTGAGTAGACCTCGGGGAGGCCCGGGACCGGTTCAAATAATCGTCACAGGTGTTGGCCGCGAGCGGGAATCGAACCCCCCGGGTCGCCGGGTTCGCAGCTCAGCGTACTAACCACTGCACTACCGCTCCCCACACATACAGACACACGCGTGTACACACACACACAGACACACACGTGTACACACACACACACAGACGCGCACACGCACGTGGGGTGCGCGTTACCCATGGGGGCCCCCCCCGGCCGCCCCCCCACCCAGGGCGCGCTGCTCGTAGACGCACGCGTTCTCGCTCTCCATGTGCGCGAGGCGCGTGAAGTCGTTGGGGTAGACGTAGGAGAGGTACACCTGGCGGCAGCACCAACACGCAGCACAACACGCAGAACTCGTATGGAACAGCATTGACACAGCACGTTACGACAGCAGACACAGCGCAACAGACAGCACAACACACTACTAACACAGCACAACAACAACACAGCACTATTATAGTACAATGCTAACACAGCACATCACTCGCACGGGACGTGCCAACACACAGACATCACAACACATTGGTCAATAACACTGCGGCGCTTCATCATTGCACGAACGTACACAGCAGGTACGTACGAACTGGAGGCCCTGGTAGCGCAGGAGCGGGTGGCCCCGAATGGTGTAGGTCGGCTTGTAGGCACAGCCAGGCAGCCCGCCAGCCAGCCAGCGCTCATCCAGCAGGGGCACTGGGCAGGGCGCACACGGGGGCGATGGGGTGGGTGTGGTGGATGGGGTGGATGGAGTGGATGGGGTGGATGGGCTCTCCAGCAGCGCTTAATTGACTCGTTCATCAAGGAGAGCCACGCGGAGTCATGTGACTCGTTTTCAAGAGCGTCCTGCCATGTAAGGGTTTCTTTTTTATTTTAAGATGTTTTCAGCCAGTTGTACGAATGTTGTACTTCTGTCCGCACCGTACGTATCCATCGGAGGTGCGGAGGAAGGACAACAAACCAAACGCAACGACAAACAGTTCTCAAGTGATGAGTTGTGTTTAGTAGACACATGGGGGGGGGGGGGGGAACCGGAGCATCCGGAGCAAGCCTACGCATTGCGCGAGGGGGCAACGCTGTATCCCCGCACACAGATGGAAACGGATGGCGATTAGTCCACTCGCTGGCACCGCCGTCTCCGGGTGAGCCAGGGGACAGTGCCTCTCGACCCCCACGGGAAGGGAGCTTCACAACAACATCTGTGTGCGGAGATCCACCAACCTCTGCCTGCCTCAACACTGCTGCCTTAAAGGCCAACGTGCAGGGCCACGGCTGCCCGGCTAATTGCTGTGCTGGGATATCGCCCGTGTCGTTGATAGGTACCACCGCTATGCCCACGTCGCTCCTGAGCCTTCCACCGCCCCTGTTGCCAGAGGTCTCTGTCGTTGCTGATCAATTGACCAGTTGACACGCGGCATGCTGAAAACCCAACAAAGACAAAGATCCCCTGTATAGCACCTATGAAGGACGGCATGGTAGACGAGGTGGTGGGTGGCCAGCACCACGTCCGACCGCTTTTGTCTTCCTTGTGTCGATGTTTACGCATCGCAATAGGTCCTCATTAGAGGCTGAGTCGACCTAGGGGAGGCCCAGGACCGGTTCAGATAATCGTCACCGGTGTTGGCCGTGAGCGGGAATCGAACTCGGGTGGCCGGGTTCGTAGCGCAGCGCGCTAACCGCTGCACCACCACTCCCCACTTAAATCTCAACGAACTCGTTCGTTAGCAGCACCGCGTGTGTGGCCTTGAAAGTAAAACTATGAGGCGACGTTTCGGGCGATGGACCTTATTCACAGAACACGGAGAGGCAATAGAGGTGGAGTGGGCCTCTCTGATGTGGCCTCTGTCACCTGAATAAGGCCCATTGTCCGAAACGTGGCCCATTTTATATTTTGTTCTTTGAAGGCCACAGTTGTTGTTGTTGACGAGTGTGAGTTTGTTGTTGTTGGCTGTGTTTGTCCACCAATGCCAACGTTGCAGCATCATCATCACCAAACAATTTGTTTATGTTTATATGACACGCTTAGATTCCGAGATCTGGTAGTAGTAGTAGTAATAATCCGCTTCTTGTTGTTGTACCTGTCTGTCAACCCACTTTCTGTACTGCCCGTGTACAACGTGTGCATCTCAAGACAATGAGCGTGGCCTCCTCACCCGTGAAGAAGGTGTCCTGGGGGCTGTACGCCAGCATGGCGGCCGGGTGTTTGGGGGAGGGGCTCGTCCCCCCCCGGGGTGGGGGCCCCCCTAACCCCCCCGGGGTCAGGGGCACGTGACCCGTCTCGTCCATGTGCAGGCCCCTCTCGTCTGTGCGCACGGGAGTCGAACACAGACCCCGTGCGGTCAGCGGCGGGGGGTCGAGCCGAGGCGCCTCTCTCGCTTGCCTCGCTAAGGCAGAGGGCTGCGGAAACGTCAAACTGCAGTAATTCCGTTGTGCTGTCTTTGACTGTTAGTTTGGTCGTTGCAGAGCACCTCGTTCCAAGGCGCTTTACAGCAATGTTAACATTGCACACGCGGTGATGGTGTTTGAGATAACGAGTGGTGTGTGTTGTTGTTGTTATTGGTGTTAAAAGTGGTGGTGCAATGACAGGAGAACAGGTGGGAGTGGTTGAGGAAGGGTTGGGATAGTGATAGGGGTTGGGGTAGTGATAGGGATAGTGATAGGGGTTGGGGTAGTGATAGGGATTGGGGTAGTGATATGGGTAGTGGAAGAGGTTCGGGTAGTGATAGGGGTTGGGGTAGTGATAGGGGTAGTGATAGGGGTTGGGGTAGTGATAGGGTTAGTGATAGTGATAGGGGTTGGGGTAGTTATAGGGGTTGGGGTAGTGATAGGGGTTGTGCTAGGTTTGGGGTAGTGATAGGGGTTGGGGTAGTGATAGGGATAGTGATAGGGGTTGGGGTAGTGATAGGGGTTGGGGTAGTGATAGGGGTTGGGGTAGTGATAGGGGTAGTGGAAGAGGTTGGGGTAGTGATAGGGGTTGGGGTAGTGATAGGGGTTGGGGTAGTGATAGGGGTAGTGATAGGGGTTGTGGTAGTGATAGGGGTTGTGGTAGTGATAGGGGTTGGAGTAGTGATAGGGGTTGGAGTAGTGATAGGGGTTGGGGTAGTGATAGGGGTAGTGATAGGGGTTGGGGTAGTGATAGGGGTAGTGCTAGGCCTGGTCGTAGCTGGGGGGCGGGGCAGGGAGTAGCAGCAGCAGGATGATGATGACGGGATCGGGCAAGGGGGTTATTGTGGTGGTGAAGATGGTTGTTGTGATGGTGAAGATGGTTGTTGTGATGGTGAAGATGGTTGTTGTGATGGTGAAGATGGTTGTCATGGTGAAGATGGTTGTTGTTGGGAAGGTGAACAAAACATCTCTCTCTACTTCTCTCGCACTGCTCAAGTTTGCAATTCCATCCCATCGCCTCTTTCAAAGCTCTTACAACAATAACATTCGTAATTATCACCACGCTCGATTCAAGAAATGTCTTGCGCTCATCGAGTACAACCCTCATGGTGCTGTTTGTTCCTGGCCACTTGACGTTCTGGGCTTTAAAAAACAACCCTCCACACCGAAACGATGCCCATGAAGCGTGAAGCGATATTCACATCTCCCTTCTGCCCATCACCACCCATCAGCACCCATCACCACCCGCACACCGACTCTCATCATCATCGTCATCATCCGCGATGGAGCTTCACGGAGGCGCGAGTGGCTGGCCGTGAGTGCTTGGGGCACGGCTCGCGCGCCGATGTGCGAGTCATAATGTCCCCGTGCCTGTGGGTGGGTGCGGAGCGGTGGCGCAGCGGTTAGCGCCGCACTGCCCTACGAACACCGGTGACCCGAGTTCGATTCCCGCTCACGGTCAACACCAGTTACGATTATCTGAATCGGTTCTGGGCCTCGCCTAGGGCGATTCAGCCTCAAATGAGTGTGTAAACATCCCCACTGGGGACACAAAGGCGGCCGGGCGTGGTGCTGGCCACCCACCCCCTTGTGTACCGCACCGGCCTTTATCGGTGCTGCTCGCTAACACCGCTTTGCTCGTGTCGTCTCTTCAGGCTGTACGGGGGGAATGTTCGTTGGGTGAAGGAGAGGGACTCTCAATACGAAGCCACTTTAGGCGAAAGAGCTGTCAGCGAGCCTCTGTTAAGGCTGAGAGGTCTCTTGTGACCAGCACCACACCAGGCTGCCTTCGGAGCTGATATGTACACACCACACCAGGTACGCGTTTGAGGCCGAGTCGACCTAGGGGAGGCCCAAAAACGGGTCCACAATTTCGCCACTGTTCAGATAAACCACCACCACTGTCGGTGGCTGTGAGCGGGAATCGAACTCGGTTCCGCTGGTGTTCGTAGCACAGTGCGGCGCTAACCGCTGCGCCACCGCTCCCCACACACACCACACACACACATCACCCACACACACCACACACACCACACACACGACACACCACACACACCAAACCACACACACCACACACACCACACACACCACACACACGCGAGTGAACACAACAATATAAACCCAAAAAACTTGCTCATAAAATCCACAGGGAGTTTTGGGTCAGTCATGATGGAAATGTAGTCAATATATATGCTAAGCAGCGCGAGGGGATGATGGCGGTGAAGGTAGAATGCGACGGGAGGGCTGGGGGTGAGGGAATGAGAGTCGGAGGTGAGTGAGTGTGCGTGACAGGGTGACGGTGAGTGTGTGACCGTGTGTGTGGCATTGTGGGGTTTTTTAATACCTGTGTAGGTGTGTGATGGCGATTGTTCGTGTGTAGGAGTGTGTGTGTGTGTGTCTTTGCGGCAGGTGTGAGTGTACACGTGTACGTGTGAGCGTGACGGTGTGTGTGAGTGTGGAGCAGAGCCCTGCCTCAGCAGTTCGCCTGCTGTATTTTGTCACCTGAAGACGATCGCTTGTGTTGCGATCGAAACGTCGTGATTTATTTATTCATTATTTTTCTATCTACGTGACTTTACCGAAAGAGCCACAGAGTTTGTGTGGGACTGTTGTGAGACGGGGAGCGGTGGTGCAGTGGTTAGCGCACTGCAATACGAATCCCCGGCCAGCCGAGTCGCCTTCCCACTCGCAGTCCCCAACACGGGTGACGAATATCTGGACCGGTCTTGGGCCTCCCCTAGGCTCACTCGGCCTAAAAAAGAGTTAGCTGGTGCAAAGTGTGTCAAAATGTGTCAAAATCTCCACCGGGGGGCCGCAGGTCGTGGTGCCGACCACGTCACCTCCTCCTCGTGCGCCGTGGCGGCCTTCATCGGCGCGACTCGCTCGCGGCACCACCCCCCTGCTGAGAGGCCACGCGGGCGACCTTGTCGTGCTCTGTGCGGCTCTCACCTGCGTAGAGGGACAGGTGGCGCGAGTCCACGGTGCGGAACCGCCTGCGAGCGCCGAGGCGACTCCACTGGGCGGGCGACGCGGGGCGGGGAGGGGACGGAGGAGCAACAACGCGACAGGGAATTGCGTTGTCGTTTAAAGAAGAAAAGAACAAATAAGTAATGTTTAAAAACACTTTTTTTTAAACACGCGTTAATGAAATGTATCGTACGAGAGAATGGCAGAACTCCACGACTCCAGGAAGTGGCCCCGAGGCTTCCCATAACGTAATGGACCGCGGTGATTTACAGCCAATGCTAGTTGACCGTGGACAATTCGAGCCAAGCCGATAGATAACTTATAAATAAGATGGTTAAAACATTTTTTTATATTTTTAATGATGGAATATAGTATTGTCATCAGTATGACATAAGTATACCAACTTTGCAGTCGATAGCACATTGGGAAGTGGGTTAAAATTGAGTTACAAGATTTGAGAGGATACGACAAAAACAGCGACAACAACAACAGACAGAGTGAGTTAAATAAAAGCGTGTAAAAAACGGGTAGCTCTTCTCTCGTAGCTAGACTGAACTAAACTGGTCAGTTTACCGGGAAAGGCCCACTGCTCTCGTCCAGAAGCGACCTGGCCATCGCACGTGGTAGCTGGCTCGTCGTGTGGAGATGCCGAGCTAACAACTACTCTGAGCCGCGCGTCTCTAAATGTGGAGGGAAACCCGGAGGACACGGAGGCAAATCCACGCGGCCACAGGGGGGACGTGCGAACTAAACAAACCACAGGAGTGAGGGTCGGAATCGAACCGACCTCTTCCTGTGTCCCAGGCGTTACACACGGGGCTAACCGTCCGTAGCTGTCCGACGTGAGTTTGAGCGCTTCGTTCAGAACGAAAAAATAGATATTTAAAAGTCACGGTCAAGCGTGCCACCCTCGCCTTTTGTGATTCCATCGCGTTGACATTTCATCAACGTGTAAATAACGGGCAGTCGATCGCAGCACGTGCTCCCTTGGGCAACTGAGACATGGGTTGGCCTCAATTAGCGCGCTCGTGTCCAAGAGATGAGTGTGACGAGTAGAGTCACCGTTATAACAATGACCTTAATTTACCCAGGAAAATGCACCCAGGCAATGACGAGGATTATTTTATTATCAGGAGGTTCCTGCCACATTGCGCTTTTTGGAACGATTCCGCCGATGAGAGTGTGGCTTCGCGTGGGGAGGAAACCCGATGCACCCGGAAGCAAAAAACCCTCGCGTGCGAGGAGGCAGCACTCGATCCCGTACAGAAGGCGCAGTCGACTGGGACAGATGTGACAACGTCGGCATAATATGATTCGTGCGAATCTTGCGATGATGCATTAACATAGACGCGACGTCCCACGGACATTATCAGGATCACTTTCAATCAATGAACAGCAGCCACGGTGTCCGCAAGAGCTCCGCGTTCTTCGTGAAAAAAAAACGATGTTCTCGATCGATCGCGAGCCCCTACCGGGCGGGGGAGACGGTCTCCGTTTCAGACAGAGCGGCGCAGAATTACCTCCCCCCCCCCTCTCGCGTCGCGATCGATCGGCCGTTCATCAAAACCAGACGAGACTAAAGTTTCTCAGCTGCCACACACACACGCGCACACACACAAAACAAGAAGCTACGATCTCTTTAAGAATGAGCTCGCCCACACACACGGAAAAAAAAATCAGCGGATCGTTGGGTCTTAGTTACCAACAAATTTGCCACCGGGCACTGAGACGCTGAATCGTTCAATAGCGGCTGAGGCCCGAGGATTCAATTGTGAGGAGAGGGCGCAGTGCCAGGAATAGCTTCATCCTCGTCGTTGCCCCCCCTCCTGCCTATCTTTCTCTTGTCTGTGAGACGTCTGTGAGACGAGAGAGATGGGGGGGGGGGGGGGCATCGATCTTCCGGAGTGCCGCGCCACGCTTCCCCCTCCTGGCGTCCGGGTAAAGTCGCGTTAATAATGCATCGCCTGGCAATGCGCGCGGCTCAGCCTCATCATCGGCATCGTCAATCTTCCCTCGACTATTAAACACACGCACACACACACACACAAACACACACACACACAAACACAAAAACACACACACAAAAAACACACACACAAACACACAGACACACACACAAACACACAGACACACACATACACAACCACACACAAAAACACACAGACACAAACACACAGACACACGCGCGCGCACGCAGACACGCGCTCGGAGTGACCTCCTGCTGAAGTGAACGTCGAGAACGTCGCTGCGCATCCCGCCCGTTTGCAGCTTCGCTCCAGCCAGTGGCAGAAATTCCACGTTCACGTGGCGGGGGCACAGGGGGAGGGGGGGAGTGCAGTGGGGGGAGGGGGGTGGAGGGGTGGGGGCTCTTTCTAGCGCAACCACTTTGGGTCTTCCCGCACAAAGTGGTACTCGTTTTAGAAGCGCCACGAGGAAGGATGATGGATTTAGTCAACCACCCAAAGGTCCCGAGCCTGCTCCTCGCTCTGCCGCTCAGCCCCTGGGTAGCTGTGAACAACTCTACGACGTTATGTGGGTGCTGCTGGTTGCTGGCCGCTTGCTTATCGGGCCTTTGGACCCTGTGCTCAACAAAAAAATCAATCAGCCACTGCTGGATAAAGGCCTCCTCGAGCTATAGCCCATTATTCCCACTGAGGTTCGTAAAATGCGTACCATATTGTGACTGCTCTATCGTTAGACTCGTCTCTAAATGTATTTTTGACAGCGGTTGTTCTACGGACGGACTGGCCCTGCCTTGGGAATGCGGAGTGACGGTAAACTCACGGCCACCATGACGTGGTCAGTCCCCTTGTCGTCCTGTTTGTGGAGGAGCTCGAAGAAGTAGCGTTGTGACGACACCAGCCTGCAACGGGAGTCGAACCCGGACACGTGTGCCTCATGGGTTTGCTATCACACAGAGCCCCTCAGAGGCAATCGTGGTGTCGGTGGTGGATGGATGGGGGTTGGGGGGGGGTTGAAACATTGGTGTCCTGGACGAACTGATGAGTCCTAATGAGGACGAAACTGGTCTCCAGTTGTCTATCCGTTTCACCGCTGCCTGACGGGAAGGCCCCCTTTGAGTTGGCGGTCTAAGGGCCCGTAACCTGGCCCAAGTCAAGATCCGTGTTCCCTCTCACCTCCTCTTGCAGCCCTGATACTTGGGAGTGCCGTTTGTTGCTGGCCGTCTGACGTGAGTGTTGGCAAATAGGAAGTGGCCAAACATCCCAGTGTAGCGGGACCCTTCTCGGGAAAACGACTTCCGAGACGAACAACAAATCACGTTTTTTCCCATTCACATTAAACTTGACAAGATTGACAAAGCGCGTGATGATTGTAACTTTTACAAAAAATATATCATCTGTCACAACGAGGCGCAAAAAGTTCCACGCTCGAATTCAAGGCTGTCTCGCTCTCTCGCTCGCCTTGCGAAGGTGCGAATCGGAGTAGGCTTGAGCGGCACTGACGAAATAACACGGAATGAAAGTGCGATAATGCCCGCGACTCGGCTGTAATCCGGCGCCACCGGCAATTGCCCAGGCGCCGATGTCCTCTCTGTACTAAGACGTCTCTCAGCCAATACATGAGTGTGTGTACAGGTGGGAGGACATCGGAGCACCCGGAGAAAACCCACGCGTAATGCGAGGGGGAAACACTCGATCCCTGTGCAGACGGAACCGGCGGAGGCCACATTTTTGTGCCGGGGGAGTACGCGGCTCTTCATCGACGCCAACCCACGGGAAGGGAGTTTGATAAGAACATTCAGACGCGGTGCTCAACCAACTCTCGCCGCTGGGTTTACAGGCAGCCACGAGCAGCGGCGTGGCCACGACCACCACCACCACCACCGTCACCACCACCACCGTCACCACCACCACCACCACCGTCACCACTACCACCACCACCACCGTCACCACTACCACCACCACCACCGTCACCACTATCACCACCACCACCGTCACCACCGTCACCACTACCACCACCACGACCACCGCCACGCCACCGTCACCACCACCACCGTCACCACCGTCATCACCACCACTACCACCACTACCACCACCACCACCGTCACCACTACCACCACCACCACCGTCACCACTACCACCACGATGACCACCACTACGACCACCGCTACGCCACCCAGCACGCGAATGCTGAAAGCGCGTCTCCTCTCGAGTGGAGATGAGTGTCGCAGCTTAACGAGCCCACCGACGCAACGCCTCCTCCCCGAGCGTGCGTTGGGTGTTGTCGCTGTCCGCGTGTAAATCTAATCCCAGATTCGGTCTCTTTTTTTCCTCTCTCTCTCTCTGCAACTTATCCAAGATTGGTTTTCATTTCACATTCGGCACTTTGAGGCGGCTCTCGCGAAACGTGCTTCATGCATTCAAATTGTTCGACAAACTCATCAGCATTTTAATACGGGTGCGGTCGGGTGAGCGCGCGTGCGTGGGGAATTCTATTCCCGCTCACGGCATAACACCAGTGACGATTAATTGAACCGGTCCTGGGCCTCCAGGTGCGGATTGTAAACATCGCCACTGGGGAGACAAAGGCGGTCGGGCGTGGTGCTGGCCACCCACCCCCTCGTGCGCCGTTCCGGCCTTCGTGGGTGCTCGCTAACAGCACTTGCCCCTACAGTCTGATGAAGGCGATAAGGGAACTATTCGTCTGTTTGTGTGTGAGCACTCGCTCCTACAGCCTGTTAAGGCTATGGGGGGATCTTTGTCTTTGGAAAACTACGCGCTGTGCCGGCCTTCATAGGTGCTCGCAAACAGCACTTGCTCCAAGCGTCTGTTAAGGCTAGACGGGGGATCTTTGTTTTTGTTGTGTGCGTGCCGCATTACAAACCCAGCGACCAGAGTTCGATTCCTGCTCACGGCTACCATCAGTGGCGAAATTGTAAAACCAGCCTTGGGGCTCATTTAGGTCGACCCAGCCTGAAATGGGTACTTGATGCGGTGTGTATGGAACTTCACCACTGGCGAGACAGCAGAGGTGGCCGGGCGTGGTGCTGGGCACCCACCCGGGCACCCACCCACCCCCTCGTGTGCCGCTCTGCCTTGGTAGGCGCTCGCCGACAGCACTTTGTCGCTTCATTCTGTCGAAGGCGGCTATGTGGCGTGGCCTTTGTCTTTGTGTCACTCACCGGGTTGGTCTGGAGATCTGCGAGCTAAATTTTCGGAATTCTCCCGGCGCTGTCCACTCGCGGCCGGTCTGCGGACACGTGCAACGGTACCGACCGTCAAATTCCGTCGCGCGTGACGCACAGACCAAGCAATGAAACGTCCTGGCGCGCACGATTAAATGCACCATCTGTTGTTGGCTTATCGAGGAGGGGAGGCCTCGCTGAGTCGGAAGATGTTTTTGTTTGTTTGGGAGGCGTCCTGATTTCGCGATCTTCGACTTAATTTCCGAATGCAGATGGCAAGAATCCAGTGAAGGCCACAACGCGTGCAAAGGGGGGGGAGGGGGCAGACACTGCACATCCCCGTTCTGATACGTGAAGCAGCGGGAAGCCTTTGCGCTCGAGATTCGTAGCTCCTGTTGTTAACAACCTGACGATGCCGGATGTTATCCTCCAGCGAAACGGCTGCACCCTTGTGAATATTGGCAGGTTACTCTCGAACAACAACAACAACAATAGAGCAAACACCAACGATGCTGCTGAAGCGATAATACAACACGGCTCCCCATTAGCACCCCCCCCCCTCCCCGTGTTACTCACACAGTATACCAAAGTTAGCCCACTGGGCTTCATTAACTCTTTATTTGACCAGGTAAGGCCCACTGGGCTATGCAGCTCTTTTTTCAGAAGCGACCTCGCTATCACAAGTGATAGCTCAACGAAGTGGGCTTCTCGTCACCGCGTGGAAATGTATTGCAGCCGAATGCTCTGTACGCAACGTTGATTCTAAATGTGGAGGAGAAAAAGCCGGCAGCGGTGGTGTGAGCGCGCAATTGCCGGGCTGCGCCTCTGCCCTCATCCAGGTCTGCAGAGACGCATGCAAATTAGCAATTGGCAAGCTCAGGTGGTGGTGGTTGGGGAGAGTGACGCGGGGTTTGTGGATTAAGTGTCACCGTTATTGCATCTGAGAGCGTGTGCCGTGTGCATCTGCAAGTGTCTACGTATGCGTGTGTGTAGGACCGTCTGTGCGCATGTGTTATCATGGCGAGCAGTGGCGCAGTGGTTAGCACGCTGCTGTACCAACCCGGATACCTGGAGTTCATTTCCCAGCCACCGACAAAAAAAATTGCCAGAACCAATAACGGAAACGGGGTTCCTGGCCCTCCCCTAGGTAGACTTAACTTTAAACGAGTGTAGCATTCATAGGTGTATCTATGTATACTGCACTTCTTGGACACTGTCCGTAGCCAATTGTGCTAATCGGAGGTGCAGGGCAAGGACAACAAACTAAACACAAAAAGCAATTATAAAAAAAATGAGTTCTCCATGTAGATTATTTAAAAGTGCATACCTCCAATGGCTTCCTAATATAGGAAGCAAGAGCGTTCCAGACGGCCGCAGAAGCGGCACTCGTGTGAATGGGAAAGCAAGCTCGACAGGATGGACGCCCAGCGCGCATACGGAGCAAAATTAAACCATCTCGCGTGCACGGCTGCCGTCTGGAAGAGCGTTCCAGACGGCCACGGAAGCGAATCTGAAAGCGCCCCGCGATGCGGGTGCTCGCCAACAGCGCAAGTCTCACTCCCCCCCCACTCCCCTCTCCCCCACTGCCCCCCCCACCACCACCACCAACAGTCCACGGGACGGCCACACGGCGGTAGAGGCCCGCACGGCGCGCCCTGTCCGAGGCGCGGCCCCACAGAGACGACGTCCCGCCTGCAACGGGGACGCGACATTCGCTACTTTCTTCCATCCTCCCCCCACGCCCCCAAACTCTTCAAACCGCCACCACTGCCGCCACCACCGCCGCCGCCGCCACCGCCGCCGCCGCCACCGCCGCCACCGCCACCACCGCCACCGCCACCACCGCCACCACCGCCACCACCACCACCACCGCAATGCCCATACATCTCGCGACGGAACCAATCTTATCAGCCACCCGAACGTGGCAGCATCCTAATCAGATTAAAACTCCGCTCTGCGTGTTACATTCAACGTCCCCCTCCCGCTTCCATCCGTCCACCCCGAAGGAAAACTTTTGATTTATAATTCTTTTTGGTTTCCTCGACGCCGTTATTGGACGTTTGGTTTTGTTCGGAGCCACGGGCGCGAAGTTTTTGGCGGTTCATGCCGCGGGAAGCTCACGGAGGGAGTGTGGAAGAAAAATAATGGCGATATCATAAAAACATTACGGTGTGTATACATATATATTATATATATGATGGACGAGGCGTCATTTCTAAGGCTCGCTCAACATCAATTACTCTCAGTGGAAAATCCATCACGTCGTGGTGCATTGTGGGCGATGAAATAAAAAATGAACACGCGGCGGGGGCTTCTGTTTTAACATCTCGCCACCGGTGCCCCCCCCACGGTGCCCCCCCCCCCCCACGGTGCCCCCCCCCCCCCCCACGGTGCACCCCCCCCCCCCACGGTGCACCCCCCACGGCCCCCCCCCACGGTGCCCCGATGATGATTTCAGCCAATTAATAATGAGCGTGTATGTACCTGTGGGAGGAAACCGGCGCATCCGGAGAAAACCTCACGTGTGAGAGGGGGCAACGCTCTATCCCATGCCAACGGAACAAATGGGAGTCCACACTTTCGCTGTACCGCCTTCTCCTGGCGAGCCAGGGGGTTACGGCTCCTCCTCGACGCCCACAGCAAGGAAGGTTCACAACAACACTTGCGTGCGTGCGGTGATGCACCAACCCCTCGCTGCTGCTACCTCCACAGCGCTGGGTAACAGGCAGCAGCAGCAGCAGCGAAGCCACCGAGCACTGCCCGCCTAATTGCTGCAGTTATTCCGAGCGCGGCAATCGTCCTAACTGATGCCAAGGCGATGAAAGTAACAACGACGACGGATCGATGACCGAGAACAGCGCGTCGACGTACCGGACCCACGGAGGCGACGAGAGTGGCGTTGGCCGGCGCCGCGTCCCGGCTGAGCCAGAGCTCGCTGTTGTCATCCGACGTGACGGCGAACTGGTAGAGGCCTTCACAGAGCGACACGCGCACAGTCAACTCGCACGTGTAGGTAGGTAGGCAGGTCCACACAACAGGGGAGCGCGGCGTCGCCAACGCGATGCAGCCAAGCGCCGCGGTGCACCGGATCCGAGCGCGCGGATCGTAGACGTTGAATGAATGAAACGCATGTCCCAATGAATGAAACGGCGCCCCAGTGAATGAAACGCGTGTCCCGATGAATGAAACGCCGCCCCAGTGAATGAAACGCATGTCCCGATGAATGAAACGCGTGTCCTGATGAATGAAACGCGCGCCACAATGAATGAAACGCGCGCCACAATGAATGAAACGCGTGCCCTGTTGTAGGTCACAACCTGTGGCGGTGGGGACGACGTAGCCGAAGATTCTGAGGCCGTAGTTGACCCAGCGGGGAGACACGGCCAGCTTGCTGATCACGCTACGAGACTATCACACACACACAGACAAAGGTCCCCCGTGTAGCCTTTAACAGACCGTTGGGGCAAAGTGCTGTTAGCGACCAACCTATGAAGACCAGAACGGTACACACACAACGCGTGGTGCTGGATCGCTAAACCACTCCCGACCGCCTTTGTCTCCCTCGTGGCGATGTTTACGCATCGCACCAGGTACTCATTTTAAGGCTGAGTCGACCTAAGGATAGGTCGGGGGTCGTCTCAGGTAATCGTCACTCGAACTCGGGTCGCCGGGTTCGTAGCGCAGTGCGGTAACCACTGCGCCACCGCTCCCCATGCACAGGCTGGTACACACAAAAACGCACGTGTATATACGTGCACGCACAAAGACAAAGGGTCCCGGTAAAGACTGAGCATACTTTTGGGGCAAGTGCTGTTAGTGATAATACACACGCACACAGACCGAGAGAGAGAGAAGATGTTTCGGCTGAACACATGGAATGGTGACATTTACGATGATTACACTGAAGATGATAATGCTGCTGCTGATAATTATGACGCTGATGGTGACATTGCTGCTGATGATGATGGCGCTGAAGATGATAACGATGCTGACGATGCTGCTGCTGATGACGATGTGTTATTGCAGAGGCCTCGAGGTGTGTGTGTGTGAGAGAGAGCTCACGTGCGGGTAGAGAGGGAAGTGGAGATTCTTGCGCAGTTGAGCCACAGAAGCGCCGCACCAGTCCTCGTACACGTGCATGTTGGCGCCACCCAACAACTGCCAACAACAGCGGATCATCATCCGCACCAGTATCATCATCATCCGCACCAGCATCATCATCAGCATCATCCTTGTCAGTAGACACCCTCAGTGCCCTATATGTGTCTACAACGGCACATATAGACTCATAGACACACATAGAGACCCGTAGACTCACAGAGACCCATAGACGCACATAGACCCATGGATTCGCACAGATCAATTATCATAGATTCACAGAGAGACCCAGACTCACAGAGACTCACAGACTCACACAAATACCCACATACTCACACAGAGATGTCACGGCTGATAGATTCAGAACCATTCGCGGCCCTGGTTTATTTTTGTCGATCAATGGAGGAGGGGGGCGGCAGTGTTTGACCATACTTCACCACTCATACTATTAGGAGAAGTGACTGGGGCTTGGGCAGGACAGGAGGAGATGGAGCGATGAAACCAGCCCGTGTGTGCAGGAGGAGGTGACGGCGGCATGGATGGAGGCCTTCGTCTAGCAGTGGACGGACCATGGCTGATGATGATGGGTCTGACGGGTGTGCGTGTATGAGGAGCGGTCGTGTAGCGGTTAGCGCACTGCGTAACGAACCCGACCACACGAATTCGATTCCCGCTCATGCCCAACACCAGTGACGATTATCCGAACCAGTCCTGGGCCTTCTATAGGTCGACTCAGCCTCAAAAAGAGTACCTGGTGCGATGTGTGAGCATCGCCACTGACAAAGGCGGCCGCGCGTGGTGCTGGCCACCCACCACCTCGTGTGCCGTCCTTCATAGGTGCTACTCGCTAACAGCACTTGCCCCAAAAGTATGTCAAAGGCTATACTGGCGGTGGAGGTCTTTGTCTTTGTGAGAAACCGAATCGCGAGGTGCTGAGGAGCCTCGTCAAGTGCTCGTGACGAGGAGTCGGCACGTGCGCTCTCGCGCAGCGCCGTGAGCCATCCCCGTCGTCAGTGAGTCGCGTGCGCATCGAGGGGCCGCTGATCCCCCTCATCACGAGCTTGCCGGAGTCGCCAATTAGTTGGGGATCGTGGGGGATGGGATGGGGGGGGGGATTTGAGATGAGGTTTGTTGATGGTTGGAGAGAGAGGGGGGGAGGGGAATATGTAAAATTAATTACGGCGCGTTTGATTCGAATGTGGAGCGATTCGAAATGATTGCAGATGCCGCGCGTGTGTGCGTGTGTCTGTCCTGGGTTTTTAATTAGCAGCATCGCGCCTCGTTCGGACTACAAACTGGCCGGGTCCACTAAGGGAGCCTTCGCTCCCCTCCCGTGGAGGGGCGGAGGAGGCGCGCGCGGTATAACGCTGCAACAACAGCAACAACAACATCAGCAGCAGCAGCAGTGATGGCAAACGATGTCGACGGAGACTTACGGGGCGTCTCGCATCCTCAAGGTGCGCTTCGCTGGAAGTAAAACGGCGATTTAAGTTGCCATTTGAAAATGCTGCAGGCGCGTTGGGTAAAGCGCGGCACCGCCTTGCCCCCTGCCCCTGTTAGCCACGCAGATCGATGGTGAGCTGCGTGGTGAGTTTTAGCAGTGGTGTTGGTGAGCTGCGTGGTGAGTTTAGCAGTGGTGTTGGTGAGCTGCGTGGTGAGTTTAGCAGTGGTGTTGGTGAGCTGCGTGGTGAGTTTAGTAGTGGTGTTGGTGAGCTGCGTGGTGAGTTTAGTAGTGGTGTTGTGGGCTGCGTGGTGAGTTTAGTAGTGGTGTTGGTGGGCTGCGTGGTGAGTTTAGCAGTGGTGTTGGTGAGCTGCGTGGTGAGTTTAGCAGTGGTGTTGGTGAGCTGCGTGGTGAGTTTAGCAGTGGTGTTGGTGAGCTGCGTGGTGAGTTTAGCAGTGGTGTTGGTGAGCTGCGTGGTGAGTTTAGCAGTGGTGTTGGTGAGCTGCGTGGTGAGTTTAGCAGTGGTGTTGGTGGGCTGCGTGGTGAGTTTAGCAGTGGTGTTGGTGAGCTGCGTGGTGAGTTTAGCAGTGGTGTTGGTGAGCTGCGTGGTGAGTTTAGCAGTGGTGTTGGTGGGCTGCGTGGTGAGTTTAGCAGTGGTGTTGGTGAGCTGCGTGGTGAGTTTAGCAGTGGTGTTGGTGGGCTGCGTGGTGAGTTTAGCAGTGGTGTTGGTGAGCTGCGTGGTGAGTTTAGCAGTGGTGTTGGTGAGCTGCGTGGTGAGTTTAGCAGTGGTGTTGGTGGGCTGCGTGGTGAGTTTAGCAGTGGTGTTGGTGAGCTGCGTGGTGAGTTTAGCAGTGGTGTTGGTGGGCTGCGTGGTGAGTTTAGTAGCGGTGTTGGTGGGCTGCGTGGTGAGTTTAGCAGTGGTGTTGGTGAGCTGCGTGGTGAGTATCTCAGCGACTGTAGCCTCCGGTGAGACACGAGATGAGTTCTCGCACGGACACGCCGCGTGTCCAGGACGCCACGATCCGTTCGTAACCAAAGAGGTCCCCCTCCGTCAACGCAAATTGCACAATCAAGTTTGACAACTCGCGTCTTTAGAGCTGCCTTTTGTGTGTTTAGTTTGTTGTCCTTCCCCGCGCACCTACGGATTAGCGTGGTTGCCTTACGTGCGGTGCGAATGAAGTTCGACGCACAGGTACATGCACACAAGCCGTGTTCTCCACTACCCCCGTGCAACGTGGCACCCGGCTTAGAGGGGTTGGGGGTGCGCACTGCACGGCAAGCCTTGAAACCAACTGGAAGCGAATGTTAAACACTCGGCAGAATTGGTCGCGATCGTCGATAAGGTAGAGAGGGGAGTGCCGCGTTAGTCAGCCTGTCGCCACGCTCCACGCTCCCAAGCCCCTGGTGGCACACCGCTCATGTTGAATATCGCACCTGTTCTGACTTGACGATTAGAATGTACGACGGTGTGTTTGGGGTAGGATGGAGGAGTGGATCTTCTTCTCCAGCCCCCCCCCCCGTCCCCCTTTCCGGTAGAGCAAGCGGCTCACGATCTGAATGTTTTGTGAATTCCACTGGACGTCTGTGAAAAGGCGCTTCATAGCTCATCGGATTTCCTCCCAGGTCTATCTAAAGCTTCTGAATCGGAGGTCACATTCTGGTGAGCGCTCTGTTGGGGATGGGGAATGCCTCGGTACAATCATCTCCCTTCTCCTGGGGTCGATAAAATCCATACCGATTCGTTGGGAAGCCAACATCGCCCCCGCCATGGGAATGTGGAATTTATCCGCACAGGCTCGAGCCTGTGAAGGGGAGACGCGAGGCATCGCCTGCGAACGCTCACGTGGGAAGGAAGTCGTCATGACCTTGTCGCACGAGAGTCTTGGAGCGACCGCGGAGGGAGCCCAGGGTGCGTGTCGGTTTTTGTGTGCGCGAGGTTATAACGCTCGCTCGGCTATTTTTGTAATTTTTGGTAATTCCTATAATCTCCACCCCCCCACACACAATACGGCAGTGAGTGAGTGTGGGGGGGGGAGGCTTTCAATTACGCCACAATCGAGACGCGCGGTTCACCCCCGCACGCCAATACACCTGCGGATTTAATTCCAGCACAAACCGAATTACAGTCACATTTCCTATTAACCTCGCCGGCTCTCTGATTTCAAGGGCTGATTTAATTTGCTCGCCTAAGAACGACACTCACCAGCGAAGAGGCGTTAGTAAGCAGGGGGGGAGGGGATACAATAAAAAATAATGCGACATATTTTTTTTGCCAGTATGAAAGTATGAAAAATAAGAATGGGATTTTACCCTTGCTGGCAATAAAACACAAGGTGTTAAGCTGTTCAAACACCAAATAAAAAACATTTGCAATGAATAAAGTCACTGCATTAACCACACAGAGTACTTGTGGTGAACATGCAAACACAAACATGCTCTGATAATTATTGATCTACGCATTACCTGTGAAACTGATGGCCTTCTCTATGGCCTGGCCTATCAGAGCATGTTTGTTTACATGTTCACCGCACCTACGTGTGGTCAATGCAGTGACTTGATTCCTTGCTAAAGATATCCATTTGGTGTTTGAACATCTTAACACAACTGTTTTATTGCCAGAAAAGGGTTAAACCCCATTCTTATTTTTTCCTACTAAAATGACGCGTTGCTCGTGTTAGGTTTGCATCGCGGCGGCGATGAGATGTCATCTCCCTCGCCTGGTACGCAGGGGGTCGTTGGTTTGATCATGGACCCTGACGATGCCCGTATATTCGGAGTCAGCGTGTCCTCTCTCTCCCCGTGGAGATCACGTGGAGTGTTCTCCAGTCTAGACCCCCCCCCCCATCTCCTCCACATCGAGAAACAACAACGCCTTGAGATTATTTGGCAGCTGCTATAAATTGGTGATATAAAAGCCACTCGATGATCGATCACGTGTGGTCGTGTTGTCTCTGAAAATAAAAAGAGCCAAAACTGTTAAATTAAATAGTGATACGATAATCTTATGAGAAGTTTGATTGTTTTTGTGGTCGTTGTAAACGTTTGGAATGGAGAGGATTAGCATCATCAGAAGTTGGATTTTTTTGTATGATCCACTGTGGCGATTTAATTAATCGATTCCTTTTCATTACCGTCGCGGTGGATGGTAGAGCCTCTAGTGGATGTCAGTAATGTTGTTATTAGTATTGTGATGTTATTAGTAGTATGGTGATGTTTGTGCTTGTTTACTCCGGAGAGCCTCCTTGAGTCTCAAGACTCTTTGTCAAGAGGATCGTCGTGTCAAACCCATTACGTGCAACATGCAATGTAATAAAAAAAAATAGGAAAATAATTTGCAGTGAGATCTGAACCTGCTCTGGGGCCCCACTACAACAAGCCACCCTTACCAGTGTGGTGAAGTATGGCCACATAACACCCCCCCCCGTCACTGCGCAGTGCGCGAGCCGCTCCTGCGGCGCCACCGCTCCTCGCCCTCCTCCTCCACTCGAAGCGCTCCAGCCCGGCACGAGGTGACCCTGGGGCAGGCGCGAGTGAAGGTCGCGCTCAGGAGCCGGCGGGGCACAGCCATGCAGCCCCCCCCCCAACCCCGCGCCCCCCCGCCACCACCCCCGACTGTGTG